GTTTAAAGAAGGAAGAGTTTATGCTGGCTTACAGGTCTAGGTGATATATTCCACCATGGTAGGAAAGGCATGGTGGCAGGAGCAGGAAGCAAGATGATCACGCTGTATTTGTAGTCAAGAATCAGAGAACTGACAGGAAGGGGCTGGACTATGAAACCAGAAGGCCTACCCCCGGGAGACTCTACCTCCTAAAGTTTCCACAACCTTCCCTAACAATGTTGCCAGCTGGGGACCAAGTACCATCTATGGTCTGTTGGCTCCATTGTTTCTATGTCTGTGGTGAGGAAGAACATCATGATGGAAGGGTAGAGTAGCACGGAGCTGCTCACCTCATGGCTGTTGGGAAGCAAAGTGAAATAGGGAGCGACCAGAGCCAAGACATACCCATGAAAAGTGTGTCACAGTGGCCAAATTCCCCAGCAGCCTGCCTTCCACAGTTACACCATCTCTTAATAGTCTAGTCAAAGTTTAAAGCCATCAATCAATGGATTAAAATGCCAGTTATTCAGATCTCTTATAATCTAATCTGTATGAATGGCCTCAAAGATGTACTCAGAGGTGTGCTTTACTAATCTCCTAAGCTTCTCCAGTCCAATGAAATTGGTCAAGGCTAACCGTAACATCAGGGAAGCCTTCCCCATGAGGTCTTCCAAAGCACTGCTCTTGGTCTGCACTTACATATTTGCTGGTCTCTTCTTGTGGCTGATGTCAGCCTTTGCTCACCTAGAGGCTGCACAGAGGCTAGGACTTTGTTTTGTTAATGTAGTGGTGGACTGTAAAGGAGGTGCCCAATATTAACTTTTAAGTTAAAAGAGTAATAAGAATCTTGGGAGAAGACTCATCCACTCAGCTCCCTAGAACCCCCGGGTGCTTTAGGGATCATTGTATCAGGAAAGGGACTGTCCTGAGTGGGGGAAGCTGAGGAGGGATAGTGGCAACATAGTTCCAAATGACTAGACTATGTTTGATAGCACTCAGACCACAGGAGGCTCGGTGAAGAGGAGCCACCAGAGTTTTGCAGTTCTTGTTCAGGTGGCCATGCAGCATTGGATGGGGTACAAGGCAACTTGGGTATGTATCAGAATTGGTTGCCAACATGCTGGGGTGCCTGGGAGATTCCTAGCCTTCTGAAGATATTGCTTCCACATCTTTAAAAGGAAAGAGATGATCACTAATTCAAGGCAATACAGATTCAGTAAATACATCATCTGTTCTTCCCTCCAGTCTTTCCCCACAAGGCTTACCATTGGATCATCACATATTGACAGTGTAGTTTGCGCCTTGCCTGGACACCTTCAGCCCCCTATGATACTCCACTCTGCCTTTTTCTCATGGTACTTGTCATATTTTCACAAACCATTTAATTTGGTTGTGTGTTAACGTCCCTCGTTTCTTGCTAGAATGTCAATTCCATGGTGCTGCCTGAAACTTTTTTCTCTTTTGAAACTGTTGAATCCCTTCCATGTGGAAGGTGCTCAGAAAGCACTCGTGAAATGAATGAAGGACTATTCTCAGTTTAGTGTGGTTTGTTGATATGACTGAGACAGTTTTGTTGCAAGGAACTTGGGTTTTGAATTAGGATACTTGTCTTTAAACCTTGGTTTGATACCAGCTATGTTGTCACCTGACCCCTTTGTGACCCTGTGTCCTATGGAAAATTGAACAATCATATCTATTTACAGGTTCCTATGATGATCAGATGACCTCCAGTATTCAACATGCAAAACACAGTGTTGGATCCACAGGAGGATCATAAAAGCTAAGGGCTTGGTCTGGGGCAGGAGTATATATTCAGGAGTATTTAGCTACAAATCATTTGGGACCATATTCTTACCCTCTTAAGAGAGAATGGGTTCATTTTGTCTTATGGTTCAGAGGGAGCAGCATAACCCAGTAGGAAGGCATGGTTGCTGCAGGTCCATCTGGGGAAGCAGGAGCTTATAGCATAGCTTGTTATATCTTCCAAGGTCGGGAATCAGAAAGTTTGGTCCAGAAATAAGGTGTGTTATAACCTCTATGAGATGTCCCTCTTCCTGTCCCAACAACCCACTTCCTCAGCTAGGACCCATCTCCCAAAGTTTTTAAGTCTCCCAGAACAGAGCCACTAGCTGGGGAATAAGTGTTCAGACACATGAGCCAGTACATTTCTGGCTCCAATGTTAGTACATTTCTCTTCCAATGTACTAACCACAAAGAATTCATGGGCTTCTTGGGAATTGAACTAATTGGGCTTCTTCTTCTTCCAAGATTATCATTTCTCTTATCATTTAAAAATCAATATTGGGACAGGCTGGAGAGATGGCTCAGTGGTTAAGAACACTGCTCTTGCAGAAGACCCGGGTTTGAATCCCAGCACCCACATGACAGCTAACAACTGTCTGTAACTCCAATTCCAGGGGATCCAACAGCCTCTTCTGTACTCTGTGGGCATTGCATGACACGGATGCACTTACCTACATGCAGGCAATACATGCATACACATAAACTAAAAATAAATTTAAAAAATTTAAAAAAATCAATATTGGGCACCACAGACTCATCAACTTTGAGAAAGAATTTTTTCGAAGGATCTCAGAAGTTCATACAATTGACAGGAAATTTAGAGAAATAGGCTCAGAAAACTCTCAGGAACCAAAGAATGCCAGGTGGTAGGAACTGCCAGCCAGGGTACTTTCGTACCTGCTGGGACTGGCCATCACCACTGGAGGAAGACTCAGCCCTTTGTGACTACTGTCTAGATGTGGGAAGCTGCTGAACCTCGGCTCCATCTCAGCAAACTGGACTGATCATTTGTGATCCTTCCAGCAGAATACCCTGCCATGATGGTGGTTACAGACACTGTGCAAGTGGCCTTATTGATAGACACTGTGGGGAAGGCAGTCTCAGAGGCCTTTGGTTTTATCAATATATTCCTTGGTCAAGGTTAAAAGTCCCTCTGTGGGTATCTTAATTGAGCAGAGGAACTGTTTTCAAAGGTAGGAGTGGCGCAGAGTGGCACAGAACCACAAGCCAGCACAGCTCCCAAGTCCGACAGCAGCTGGGCTGTAGTGGCTACTTAGGTCTGAAGGGGCAAATGAAGAGGGATCAGTTATCTGAAACCCAGAGAGGCAGAGTTGTGTAAAGGTAGTCAACTGATCATTGCTGAGACTCGGGAGAGATGTCAGCCCACTGTGATGGCACAGAGACAGAAATGTAAGATCAGTTCCCTGACTCACCCCCAACTCAGCACCATCCTTTAATATCCTTCTGGAGCCTCCCATTTTCATATCCCACTGGAAGCTGGAGATCATTGGCAGAACTCATATTGGTGGCCTTGGAGTGAGGCACAGAACCGGGGAAAGGAAAGTAAGCAAGAAGAGTAGATGACGGGAGGATCTGAGGGCCAACCGAACACCCCACTCCACCCCTCTCCACAGTGGAGATTGTCTGCTGCATATCTACGGTGGAAACTTGACCTTGAGTATGGAGTAGAGTTTGAGACTTTTTCAGATAAAGCAGTTGTCTAAAAAATGCCACAGGATCAGAGGCTGAAGGGCATGCTGAGAATGGTGCACTTTGAGTGTGGTCTTAGAATCTTCTGTTACCCAGTTCCCCTTTGGGGGCATCCAAATTCTCAAGTTCACGAGGAGGGATTCTTGTTTGATGTGGCTTCTTCACCAAGAGAATTTGTTGGATTCTGCTAAATATCTTAGCAACCAGGTCTATCCACAGTCCTGGAGAAGGCTGGGATTTGGGTTTAGATACTTCCAACTCTGTCCAGTGGAGAGTTAAGCCTCCCACTTAAAGCCTGGTTGTTTAGAGGGAGCCTGTTTGTTTGGGTTTGTGCAGCCAGGAGAACGTTGCTATGGTTGAGACGCAGGCGATGGATCTTATGATCTGGAACAGCAAATTGTGTATATAACATGACAGCATTTATTAAAGCAAGATAAACTCAGTGGCAAAGGATCTGGCTGGAGCTGGGAATTCCTCTGATCCTGGCTTCTGAACCATCACATTCCATTTGAATGAGGCCCAGGATCCAAACACTTTCATTAAATAAGTCAATTTGCTGAGAATCTCCAAGACAATGAGCTGGGAATTGCCCTTTCCCTAGTTTTAAGGGAAATGCTACATGCCCCATGATTCTGATTCACTGCATTGCTGAGCAGGCACAGACCTGCTGGCTTGGCAGAGAGCACCCAGCCCTACCAGTGCCTGAGCTGAGTTTGGGGACACTGGGCTCTCTTCCTTTCAGAGGGCCTTCGTGTAAAGCATAAAGAGATAATTCAGGCATTCTTTCTAGATCTAAGAATTCAAGAGTACCAGGTGCAACATCCATTTGAACTACTTCAATAATAATTTGCGCCTGGAGCGCTATCCCCTTGGCATAGCAAGGACCAGGGAAGAAGGAATTTTCATCAGGGGCCAGGAAGGGGACAGACATATTGGAGTCAAAAGGCATGGGCTTAAACCCAAGTTCTATTATTAATTGGGTAAGTAGCCACAGATAAGCCTATAAGTCCCAGGCCATGCCATATAGAATGACAGTAGAGACAGCTAACAATCAGATCAAACTCTATGTTTAAGGGCTGTCATGGATGTGTAATTTATTCTGCATGGAACTGGTATGAAATAAGGAGTGGGCATGGCTTTACAAGGAAACCAGGTACAGAGAGGTTAGGGAACGTGGGAATGGGTCGAGCTTGGATAGTCTGCCCGTGATGACAATCTTTTCCTCATCATAGAATATTTCTAGGTTGCTCTAGAAAATGGACCTCTTTAAAACACAAATCATTACTCTTACAATGCCAAGTGTGAAGCAGAATCTGAAGGTACGAATTTTTCCAATGTTGTTAAACTTTGTTCAGAAAAGTGTTTCCTTCTGTCTCTACCCTGGCCTCCTCTCCTCTTCCCTGCTGAGCACAATCCCTGTTTTCCTTCCTTTTCCAACATCCCTTTCTCTGATCATTGGCTTTGGTGAAAACCACACTCAACAATGAAAAGCAAAATAACAAACAAAATTCAAAAGTACTTGTGCTTTTATTAAAAAAAAATACAATCAGGTTCTGTCCAGATGCATTTGGGAAGGGAACATCTTTAAAAATTCTTAGTTTTCATTATCACCACCATCATTATTATATTAATAATATTAATCTTCTTGAAATGGAAACAGTGTTGCTTTTCTGAATTCAGTTGTATGTAGAAAAAAAGGGGGGTGGGGGGCAACATCCAATGTCACACAGTTTTTTTGCTACCCAAAATAATAATAATTAATTATGCAGCTTTGTGTAAAATATGGCTGGTTCTAAAACAAACTACTCCCACTGTATAGCCTACCCCTCTCCCATTCCCAGAGCCACCCAAGAGAATTAAAAAACCATTGTGTTGTTGTTACTGGAAGACTTTCGTTGAATCAAACAACAAAGCAGGAACCAGTTGCAGACTGTTGTCTTTGGTGCAAAGGGAGTAACTGCAGAGGACCCTATGCCAGTGCCTCGTGATTTGTAGTCAACTTGGACTCCCACCAGATGCCCAGGTATGGCTTGATGTTTAGACTGGTGTATCAATGCTTTGGTAAAAATCCATTCCTTTCTCTGGGCCCCATTCCTCTCTCACCCATGTGTCCTGGGATTTATGCTCGTTTGCGCCTGCCTTCAAGATTTCTGAAGTTGCTGGGTCTCAGCTTCATCTCAGCAAACTGGATTGAATATTCGTGGCCCTTCCAGTGGAACCAGTTAACACCCTGCAACAAGGAGAGGACCTCTGGGTTAGTTTCCATTACAAAACCTGTTTGTGGATTATCACCATTTCGTTACCCAACAAAAAAGGGTTTTATTTCAAGGTAACCGCTTGGCATTTCATAGGTATGCCTCTTGTTGATCTATATTGTGAAATCTTTCAAAAGGTCTGGTTGAATCTGACCCAACCTTTTACCCATCGTTAGAAATCACCTGGGTTTGTGCCGAGCTTTGGCTGGCCCTCTTGAAATAAAATGGTGGCTGATGAAACTTGTGTTTCTGAGAAAAGGCTGTGTAGGAACACAGATCATGACTGCAGGCTATAGGATAAAGTTAGCTAGATGCAGTGTGTGTGTGTGTGTGTGTGTGTGTGTGTGTATGTAATTTGTAGGATTCCCATGGAGCATTTTAATAAGGCATTGTCAGAGAAAGAACACAGGTAGAATACAAGCTTTGCAACCTGATCTACAGGGTTAGGGTTGTAAGTCTTATATGAGGGTGGGCACTTGTGTTTCTGAGAAAAGGCTGTGTAGGAACACAGATCATGACTGCAGGCTATAGGATAAAGTTAGCTAGATGCAGTGTGTGTGTGTGTGTGTGTGTGTGTGTGTGTGTGTGTATGTAATTTGTAGGATTCCCATGGAGCATTTTAATAAGGCATTGTCAGAGAAAGAACACAGGTAGAATACAAGCTTTGCAACCTGATCTACAGGGTTAGGGTTGTAAGTCTTATATGAGGGTGGGCAAGATAGTTCAATGAGTAAACGCTTGCCTGTCAAGCCTGGGGACCTGAATTCAATCCAAGAAACTTGTGTAATATAAATGTGGGAAGTGAGAACTGACTCCACAAAGTTGTGCTCTGGCCTTCACGTGTATGTCTCCACACATACATCATGCATACACACAATAAAAAGTATTCTTATGTGAGTTACAAATGGTTTTGAGCACGTGATCAGACCCGTGGACCTGTTTTACTACAGACACTTTTTTTTTTTTTTTTAAATTAGGAAACAATACTGTAGGGGCTGGAGACATGACTCGGTGCTTAAGAGCACTGACTGTTCTTGCAGAGGACCTGGGTTCGAATCCCAGCACCCACATGGCTAACAACTGTCCATAACTCCAGTTTCAGGGGCTCCAACATTCTCTTCTGACCTTTGCATGCATTGCACGACACGGGTGCACATGTGGACCATACACTCATACAATAAAAATAATAAATAAAATTAAAAAGAAATGATACTGTAAACCTTGAAAGATGCTATGAAGTTAAAATGAGATTATGAAAGTGCTACCACAGTGCTGGGGACTTTATAAGGTAAGTTTTACTTCCTTAGTCTCAAGGAAGGACACATATCCTTGAAATATGGGTCAAAGATTTATCTATAAGACAATATTTATGCCTGGGCTTTGTGGTTCCACATACAACTCTTTCACAGAGTGTATAGATACATATAGAACATGTGAGAGGGTTGGGGCTGGCTCACCACAGCTGTTCCTGGAGGCCACCACCCCTGACCACTGACCCCTCTACACTGCAAGCTACAGGGCTACAGGAAACATATCACGGACACAATAATGGCTAGTGAGGTGAGGGAAATTGCGAGGAATTTTATTTGTTTCCAGCATTTTTTGCATTCACAGACAGGAGGCCATCTCTGAGCCTGAAGGGAGGTGGGATTTAAGAACTGCTGGTTCATTTCATGTACACATGTACTTGTAAGCACTCAGTTACAGGGAGGCCCTGCGACCAACAGTTTGTCTCGCCTGCTGACATCCTCTGACCTCACTCTTTCCTTTTATAGAAGTTCAAGGATGGCTGGAAGGTAGAGACTGAAGCCAGAGAGGGAAAGAGAACCCACAGAGGCCACACAGTGATTTGAGTAGAGCCAGAACTGGGTCTGAGTTCTTGTGAGCTCTCTGTGGCCTATGATGCCATCTTTTTCTTTTGAAAATTGAATGGATAGAGAGTAAAAGAGGTGTCTGTTTTGATGTGTAGTGTTATCAGAAACACTATATCACACCGGAGTTAGGGAACTGGGAGTTAAAGATGGTAGAATAATGTTCAGAGTAGAGATGCTATAAAGGGAATGTAACGAGCTAGAAAGAGCCCAGGCCTGATGTGAAGAGGTGGCCTTCCACCCTTGCCTCCTCTGTAACACGGACATGAAAAGTCACTCCCTCATCTCTCAGGCTAAGGTGATAAGTTCAGGAGATACAGAAGGTCAGAGAGCTCTGAAAAGTGCCAGATACTAGTCAAGGTAAGAAGGTAAGGTCTACACTGAAGTTCATGGGTATTATTTGTTAGCAGCCAACTAAGTCATAAATACACATATCAAGCCTAATGGAGAATGGTAGCTCCCAAACCTGTTGTCTGCCAGTAATCGCCTGTGGAGTCTACCAAAATGCCCTGCCCCCCAAATCCAGAACAGCAAAAATATACAAATACTTAGGCAGTTGAGATCTCAGATGGGGCCACACCCCATCTGAGATCATTAAATCCAAATTCCAGGGCTTATAACATACAACCTGAGCCATGGTAGTTTTACAAAGCTGTGGGGACCCTCAGGAGCCAACCTGGCCCAGGGCTCAGCATAGTATAGCCTTGAGAGCACAGCTAGCCTTCCTCCCTGAGTGGAGATGAGTTCATCAGAAGGAGCTGGGGCTGGAGCCGGGTGTGATTAAGTACCCCACCCTACTTGGCATTGTTCACTTTTCAGATACCGGTAGGGTAGGCAGGGCTCAGAACAAGAAGGATTATTCTGGGTTCAGACAGAAATTGTATCTGAGGAAAGAATTCTAAGCTCAGGACCTATGTGTCCAGTAGTTCCTCCTGGGCTCTTCAAGGGTTAGCATGTGCTGTTTCTAGCTGATCTGCAGCATCTTTGAGATTTTGCAATGTGTTAGGAAGGTAACACAGTTTCTGTTTAAAGTGTGCTTCCCTCTCTCACAACCCACTTCCCCAGCCCTGTGTGCTGTGGGCCGTTAACAGTCCACTCACCTGACTGTGGTTATTGTCCCCATATCTCCCCATCAGGTTGACACGGTGACAGTTCTTATACCAGAACGCTCCTTTATAGGACAAAGCACAGTTGGTGATGGCTGAGTCTGTGTCCTTGTCATAGGTGGAGAAGGATCTGCCATTGTGGTAGTTCATGGAGTCACCTGAGTGAGAGTAAGAGAGAGAGAAAAGAGAGAATTAAGAACTGGAATCACAGCGGATGCAGTCCTTCATGGGTGTGAAGAACAGAACCAGAGATGACAACTGAAAGATCCTGGGGTATGCTCGCATTGAGCCTCAGACCCAGAGTCAGAGCTGGAGCCCCAGGGACTGCATGGTACATGAGTGCCACCCCCAAAGACTCATCTCTGACAGAAACACCTTTATGTGATTAAAAAAAAAAAAAAGGTTGCAGGTGGCTCTGGAAAGTCCAGCTTCAACTCCTATCTCTTACTTTCCAGCTATAAACTTGCACAAATCAAGCCTCCCGCAGACCCTCAGTTTTCTCATCTATAAAATGGAGCCAGCACATGGATTCTATCTACCCCAGCACTGTGGTGACAGTAGACATAAAGGTTCACTCTAGACAGGGAGGTTGGCATGCATACAGTCATGATTGTTGCAGTTGTACTTTTTCTGCATCTCCTTTATTATAAAAGAACTTCTTTGAGTTTACTCTCTAGTAAACTGAGAAATTTGCACTTAATAATGATCTGTGAGTCAGACATGGTGGTACATATCTGTAATCCATCCCAGCACTGGGGAGGCTGAAGCAGGAAGATCACAAGTTCAAGACCAGCCTGTGCTACATAGTGAGCCCTGTGACAAGAAAAACCCTGAAACAAAACCAAACAAAAATAACAGTGACATGCATTTCCCTCATATATAAGGACATTAAGACTATACTTATAATTAAGACTTTCAGTTAGTAAATATTGTCAGATAGCCTGGGTATCATATAGTTATCTTTAAAAAAATTTACCAATCTAGTGTTCTCTGATTCTTAGACAAGCATCTCATTTTCTTGTAGTGCTACTTGGGAATGTAGTTTGTAATTTAAGGTACTGAGTTTTGGAAGCGTTTCAGTGCATTTCTATATGGGTCCTCTTTATCCCAAACCCTGGCTAAGTGTTGTAAGCTTTTCAAGACATTCTTGCTGAGATTTTTGGGAGAAAGTGGTCAAAAGGACTCTGGTGTCTTTTTCAAAAAAAGATTTATTTATTTATTTTTATTTGTGTGTATGAGTGTTTTGCCTCCATGTATGTGTGTACGCCATGTATGTGCTTGGTGCCCACAGAGGCCAGAGAGGGTGTCTAAATCTCTAGATCTGGAGTTACAGATGATTTTGAGTAACCATGTGGTCCTGGGTACTCTGTAAGAGAAACACGTTTTTCTAACCCCCTGAGTCATCTCTCCAGCCCCTCAAGTGTCTTTAAAATTTTTGAAAATTATTTTATGTGTATGAGTGTTATGTCTGCATGTACATAAGTGTACCTTGTGTGCAATGCCCACAGAGGTCAGAAGAGAGCATCAGATCCCCTGGTATTAGAGTTTCAAATGGTTGTTAGATGCCATGTGGGTACCAAGAACTGAACCCAGGTCCTCTGTAAGAGCAACCAGTGCTCTTAACTGCTGAGCATCTCTCTAGCTCCCTCAGATGTCTTTTTAACTGATGATGTTCCCCACAGCATAGAGACTGCAGGTAGATATTGGAGAAGTAGCATGCTCTCCTGTGGGAACCTGGATCCACCAATACTAGACCTGAAAAGGATGCTTCCAGGGAAGGGAAAGAGCAGAAGTGAACAGAGCGTGAACACAAGCCATATTCTTGGTCCTTGGTTGGTTTTCTTGCTATTTAACAAACCCTGTCTGAAGCCATCTCAACTAAAGAGGTATTTATCATCAGCTAATAAAATGTCAGAATTCCTTGATGCATGCAAGCGCTAAAATAATTTCCACCCCTGGCTATCTCTTCTTTCCCATCCAATTTACATCTCAAAGGAGCTTTGTGCCTCCTTCTACTGAAACTTGGCTTTGGAAAGGTTGAGGCTTTTCTTTCTGCAAGTTTTCTTTCAGGACTCAGAGGGGTTGCAAATTTGCTCTTAGATCCTTCTTTTCTGTTTTCATAGGCATAAAAGAAGGCCACCCAAAGAGGGCCTGGCTTCTATGAGGTGGTCCCCACCCCTGGTCCCTCTTTGTCACCACAACTCTCTGCAGGCATTCCAAGTGCCTTCTGTGAGCTGTTTCACCCTGGCAAATAACTTCAGTGTCTCTGAACCAGGTTTAGAATCTTTACAACACCTTCCAAAAGGTGTTTGTGAGGATTCAATGGGGGTGATCCAGGTGAAATGTCTACCAAACAGGATGCTACTTGATAGACCTTGATATGAATATATGAATTGTTTCCTTATTTATTTTTTCTCTAAGGTAGAGTCGCAAAGCTGCACAAGTCAAAGACATCCTCAAAACCAGAACTAGGATCTAGGTAAAGAATGAAAGGCTGGGGGCAGGAGCGATGGCTCAGAACTTGCAGAGGACCTGGGTTCAATGCATCCACATGGTGACTAACAACTGTCTGAACTCCACTACCAGGGGATCCTAGGCCCTCTTCTGATCTTTGTGGGCATTGTGCAACATGGATGCACTTACACATATGCAGGTAATACACTCATACACATAAAATAAAAATAAAATATTTAAAAAGATGGGGCTGGAGGGAGGACTTGGCAGTTAAAGCACTGGCTGTTCTTGCAGAGAACCCAGGGTTCAATTCCCAGCACCCACATGGTGACTAACAACTGTTGGCAACTCCAGTTCCAGGGGAATTCAACATCCTCTTCTGGTCTTCACTGGCATTGCACAACACAGGTGCACTTATATACATGCAGTCAATACCTACATACACATAAAATTAAAAATAAGTAAAATATTAAAAAAAAAGAGAGAAAGGGTCACTAGATAGTCAGGAGACCAGCCAGGCCAGGAATATGGGCAGCACCAGGGACTATGTAAGAAATACAACATCTCAGTGCTGCCCCCTGACATCCTGTGTCAGAATTTGCATATTAGCAGATCCCCAGGGTATCTTATTCCTGTCATAGGAAAGTACTAAAGATACTCAGATAGAGTTGGAGGCTTTGAAAGTCCATTTTTTTCCTATCACTCTACAGCTGCTAACTACAAAGGAAGAAGAAACACATTGTGTGTGGATACGTGATTGTACCTCATCCCTAGTTGCCTTGATTCCCAACCTGCTCTACATTTCATTGACCAAAATCCTTGCCTCACCCCTTTCAATAACAGTTATTTTGGATTACCACCAAGGAGGCATATGGATATTAGTTGATTCCGTAAGTGGCTGGGTCAGGGAAGGAAGGAGTGAAGGAATGGTGAATTGAGGAGTCCACAAGCAGTCTCCTGTGATTTCGAGCCTGCAATGCATCTACCCCATACCTGCTGTCCCACTGTACCCTTCCACGTTCAGCTTGTAGCGACTCTTGGCGTCTCCCACGCTGAACTTGTCATAGACCGCGAACGCTGACTCCCCATGGTCCTGCAGGTCCACCCGGAGCTCGTACTGCCCTTGGGCTGTGATTTTGCTCAGGTTATCCAGTCCTGTGGATGACAGGCAAGGGCTGGTAAGGAAGCACAGGTGACTGAAGCATCAGGGGAATGCTCAAAAGTAGGGCATGTCACACAGACTTGGGCTTGGAACCTTGCTGGCACAACGCCAGGCAAAACAAATCTGATGTTCCTGAGTCTCAGGGGAGAATAGTTAGACACCTTTGATCATCAACTTCCTTTTGTAGAGTAAAGGTGATAAGACCATGAACATGCTCTTTATGTTCTAAAGTCCCTAACCAATATTAAGGCAATGAATCACATTGGGACGAGGAGTCCCAGGCTCAGGCAGTGGTGCATACAGTGATGCTCAGTGGGTACATTGCCAGAAGTGTCCATGCCATGGGCAAGTAGCTGTAAATATGCATGTAGTGTCTACTTGGAAAATTTCAAATTATAGCTTAATTGGTCATTGTCTAGAGATCCATAGATAAACCACAAAATCTTCTTGAGGATCTGTTTCCTCGGGTGTAAAATGCGAATTCTGCTCTGTTCTGGTGAAAAGTTATTGCCATGAGATGCATCTCAATGCATCAAGAGGGAAGCAGTCTACAATACCAGTGAGATCAGTTCTGTGACTAGTCCAGTGACTGACTTAATGCCAGGTTCATTCATAAGGCCTGGCTTGATCATACTTTTATTTTTGGTGGCCTGGATCACTTCATTATTTTGACATTCTGTGTCTCCTGAAGACCTCCTTCCTTTCTAATCTGTTCCTCTCCCCATAGATCACTGAATGAGGATAAATGACCACAAGGGCAGAAACAGGGAAGTCAAACACAGACTTCCAGGGCTGCATTACCGAGCCAGAATTCTTCTCTGCGGTCCCCAAATCCAGCAGCATAAGCCTTCCAGTTTCGGTAGAAGTCCTCACGTCCATTTTTGCGTCTCAGGAAAACCTATCAATGTAATCAGTGAATGTGGGTGCACTTAACGGGATGGAAGGAAACAGGATATCTTTCTGCAAGAAGGAACTTGAGACTGGAAAGAGCCCGCGTCCCCAGCTCTCTCTGTTGCTTATTCTCCATGTGACTTTGGTCTTGTCACCTCCTGTAGCCCCAGCTGACTTGGAACTCAGACAAGGCTGGCTTTGAACTCACAGAGATCTACCTGCCTCTGCCTCCTGAGTGCTGGGATTAAAGGCCTGTGCATCACACCTGGCACTCATTAATAATGGGGGTGAGTTTGGGGGGATGGGGTAAATGCCCTAAATATAAAATTTATTAATAAAAAACTATTCTGTGCAGCCAACATGGTTATAGGATTAAATAAATGCTGAAAACATTCTTAGCACATGCCTGGTAGGTAGTAAATGTTCAGCTAGGGCTACTTATTATAATGAGCAGGTCTGATCATCACTGTCATTCATATCAGAATTGTTTGAAGAGAATGAGAAAACATAGATTATAACACAATTTTTCCAATCCCAATTTTTTTGCAGCTAGTTTCCCTATATAGCCTCTGGTTGACCTGTAACTCAAAAGAGGTCCACCTGCCTCTGCCTCCCAAGTACTGGGATCAAAGGCATGCACCACCACATCTGGCCAATCCTCTGATACATTTTATACCCAGCTTCTTCTTCGTCTATCCACCCCCCCTCCTTTTTTTCTGACAGGGTCCCCCAGGCTGGCCTCAAACTGCTACTTCAAGATGACCTTGAATGCCTAATTCTCCTGCCTTCACTTCCCGAGTACAAATAAACATTTGACAGCATGCTTGGTTTTATGTCGTATTGGGGATTGAATTTAGGGCTTTGCACATTCTAGGCAAGCACTCTGCTAACTGAACTACATCCCTAGACTTTATTTTATATTTTGATAGACAATTCTGAGGAGCCTCCATGTGACAGGCACTGTCTTTCATGGATGCCAGAACACACAGAGAAGGACACACTACCCATTTTCCCTCCCCAACCCCTATCTGAGAGCTCTGGAGTCTACTGTGGTACTCACGATCCATCCACCTCCATCCGAGGTCATATCACAGAAGACTTCTAGAGCTTGGGCTTTGTCACCATTTATATAAATGGTGTAAAGGCCAGAGGTGGTGTCACCATTCAGCATGGCTTGGGAGCAGTCCCTGGGGAACGGGTATAGGAGTCCAACTGCAAGATAAAGAGAAAGAGAGACTCTCAGAGCAGAGGATGGGGTAGGAGCTTTGAGGCTAGACTGAAGCTCAGCTGTTCAGTGGCTAGATTCATAAAGGCAAAGAACCCAACCTGAGTCTCTGTTCCCTCATGCTGAAGGAGAAGGGAATTTACATTGAACTTAATGATATAAAGACCTCACACTGAGCTAGGAATTCAAACATAACACCTTACCGTCCTGTACAAGGTACTTGTGAGGAAGGGATGGTACTGATCACATTGTAAAGATGAAGGAACTAAAGCTTATGGAGTAGAAGATATCTTCCTAGTGGTACCCAGTAAATGATGGAGATGGGGACGGAATCCAGATAGGCTCACATTAGCTCTTCTTCCCTTTTACCAGGATGCCTGTAACCTCCTGCATCCAGCCATATGCCCCAGGCTTCCACACAGTAGTAAGGAATTAATACTTTTCAGCAATGTGTTTGAAAAATGTAAAATAGAAGCTGGGGAAGTGGAGGGTTGATTCAGTGTCAGAAGGTCAGATCTCAAGGCCAGATTGCTCCCTGGAATCCTTACTTGTGGTGAAGATGGTCTGGATCAGCTTGCTTCTCAGGGACCCACTCAATGCCTGGATCCTGGCGGTGTAGTGGGTGGATGGACTCAGGTCTGCCAGGCTGTAGGAGGTGGTATCTGGCCCCACAATGACTTCCTAAGGGAAGAAGAAAGAATAGTGCAGTTTGGTTCCAGGGATTCTCAAAGTATAGATGATGAACTTATTTACTCATCCATACATTCATTTATTCACTCAACAAGAATCTACTCAGTACCCACTTCATGCCAGACCCCATGTGCATATCTGGAATGTCAGAGATAGAAAGAAGGCAGCGTAAGCATAGGTTCTAAAGGCCAGAAAGGCAGAGAAGTTTAAAACAACGCGGAGGCAACGCTCTGCTTCAGTTGTGCTTAGTTTCAGGTGGGGAGGAGGACGAGGAAGCGGTCGGCAAATGAGAAGATCTGAAAAGTTTTTCAACAAGATTAAGCTGTTCAGGCTTAAGAACTTAAGAAGCTTAAGCTGATGGTGAGACATATTGCACAAGGGCCAAGGGGTATTGAGACCATTTAGGGCAGCAGTTATTAGTAACTGCTGTGGATCTTTATCACAAGCCTTAATGCAGTCTGATACCTGGGCTCCTTCCTACACGGACTAAATTATGAGAGAGAGAAGGGGGTGGTGGGCACTGGCTAGATGCCTATCTAGGAAGCTAGGGGTTGGGCTGGGGAGCTCTTGACTTAGAACATGATGATTATAGTTCAATAAACAGGGCTGAATAAAGGCATGAGCTAACCCTGTGTGTTCCTTCTAGAACAGAGATTTCCAGGAGGGACAGATGTGTGACCCACTCTATGTATGTCTGTGGCTGATCCTTGGACTGCTGTCTGGATTGGTGATTGGGTTCAGTTTCAGGAGATCCTTTTGTGCTCAAATACTCAGTAGGTTCCAATTCTTATTAACAGATGATCTTGGCAGCTGGACCTGGAATCCAACCAACATCCTGGTAAATCAAACACAACTCTACAAGCCACCGATGTAGTTGACTGGGTTGAAGCAGTAACAGGCCAGTATGGAGACCCCTGGAGGGTTCTCTCATATCTTGAGAACTGGGAGATCTGTTATTCAAATTTTTCCAATGGGGAAGTAAAGTTCAGAGAATCTGAGAGACTTGTTCCCACTCCATAATTTGTTGGTGGCAGAGGAGGATGTGCCCTGCTAGCCTCTCAGCACCCTATCCAGGATTCTTTTCTCCTATGGTAGTTACTTTTTTGAGTGAGACATGTCAAGCTGGGGTTGGATATGTAAGAAAAAGCAATATGGATGGGTGTCCACTTAATGCCAGTGACACAGTGACCTTTGTGTGGCTCTCAGGTTTGGTCCCTGGAGAGAGATCAGCTGTCAGTATACAGCTAGGCTCATTGAATTGCCTGAGGCTACCGCTGCCTGTCAGCTCTCTAGGCTGCTATGCTGAATCTTCTAGGCAATTAGGAGAGCTTGAAATGAAACTTCGTGATCCAGGAAAACAAAACGCTAGAACCCTAGACCTACAGGGGGCCTTAGGGATTTGTGAGTGCAATTAACTCATCTTATAGATGGGAAAATGGATACTGGGAAGATAAAAGGCCAGCTTAGAACTAACTCATCCTGTGAGTTAGTTCATTGTACACCAATTCCAGAAAGACTGTGGTGGTATCTAGAAATGTGGTTAAACAGGACAGATTGGAAATGTCCGTTTATCAAGAAATATAAATAAGGTGTGAATGCACGAAAAGGAGGAGGAGGAAGAGAGAGGAGCTGGGAACAGGCAACAGATAGGTCTTATCTGTAGAACCTTGGTAGATAGGTGGCTGGTAGAGTAATCCCTCAGGGGTCCATGGAGAGAGCTGGTGCAAACTAGAGTGCTCAGGGCACCAGAGGTTGGCTATGTATGCCACAACACACAGCAAATTTCTAAAGAATATGTACCGTAGGCAGCACAACTGCCTTTGAAGGCAATATAGGTTGTGACCCAACAAAAGTTCAGTTCGTTAAGGGAGTTAAATTCCCCAGCTCTTGCCATCACCTCCTAGGCCAGATAGAAGGGTGATCTTCACGCTCTTGAGAAGCTGAGCTAGAGAGGAGGTTCTGGATTCAAATCCACCAGGATTAGCTGGTGAGGAAGTCAAGGTACTACAGTAGAAGCAGAAGCTGAGAAGAAATATACACAGTAGGAGCTCAAGCTCTATGGGGTCCCCTGCAAATTGCTGCATCCTTGCCTCATCTCTCTACCCTGAACCACATCATTGACAAACCCTCATGTGCACCCAAACTTCCAACATTCTTCATTCTTAAAGGATAAACCGTGACCAACAGACATTGGGAAGAAGTTTCAAAGAGGAAAACAGGAGTCCTAAACCAAACTAAACTAAACCAAACCGAATCATAGCAACCAAAGTAAAGAAACTTGGAAGCAATTTAATGCAAGTTGTAGACTAAAATAGCAATAACGTTTTAGAAATAAAAAGAATGAAACACAGACAAGATGCTAGGAAAAATGAATGTTAAGAAAATAAAAGAACTTAGATATACAAAGTATGATGACAAAAATGAAAAACTCAGTAACAAATGTGGAAGGTAAAGTTTAGAAAATCTCTTTCACTTGTCTGAAGTTGAAGAGTTATTGTAAACTTCTGACCTCCGCGGCATTGCATGACACGGGTGCACTCACATACATGCAAGCAATACACTCATACACATAAAATAAAAATAATAAATAATTTTTTTAAAAAGTACAAAAGAAAAGTTCATGAGAGAGAATACAGGTAGCATTAACAATAGATGTAAACAATATCAATAAATCATAAAGATGCGGTGTGATGCATCACAGTACCTCAGTTAATGACACTATCTGTTACATAATATGCAAAAGATGCTGTTGGTCTTTTCTCAATAAAACATTAAATGACCTTGAGTTCAACTCCTAAAATATCAAGTCTTATAAACAGTGGCTTTTGATCTTGGCTACCTCTCAGAACTTGGGTCTGGTTAAAATGAGAGAGTAGAGAGCAGGACTCACAGGGTCTGGTACTATATCTAGTTTCTATTAAGTTTTTTTAGGTCCCCAGTTGCACTGAAATGGAGAAACAGCATCAGGTAATTCTTCCTTACATATATATTTTGCCCCACAGTAGGGAGTGGCTTATATACTTCAAGATACCTTGACTGTACCATCCACAGATTCATAGACCAGTAGGTAACCAGTGACAGATGCTCGGGGAGGTTTCCAGGTGAGGAGGGCAGTTTCTGACTGAACCTCAGTAGCGGTCAAGTCTCTCGGAGAATCAAGGTCTGGAGAAGATAATTCATATTAAATAAGTCATCAAGTGTAGGACAGAGAACAGAAAGAGGGCTGAGTTCAAGTCCTTTCCCTACCACGGAATGTGACCATGGGTAAGAACCCTTCCTGACTGTGGATCAGAAAGCTGAACCACATGATCTCCAAAGGCAAGTTGAATATGGTTCATATCACCCTAAGAGATGGGTGTCCGTGAATCCAAAGCAATTCTGGTTTATTCAGGTTAGATTTGGGGAGGAAGACACATTTGTGAAGATCCTTATTGAGCTCCTTGTTTCTAACTAAGAGGACTGGTGAGGGCTAATACTGGTGCTCACTCCAACAGAGAGGACAATCCTTTATTTCCCTAATTTACTGAACTTTGTAAAAAGATGTCAATACATAAAAATGCAATGGACATCTAAGAAAACTTGCCTGAAAAAATCTCACTCTTTAAAAATATTTCCCTGTCTGGAACATGGATCATTAAATACTGGGTTTAGGGCCAGTAGGAACTGTTTTTCCACTTAAAAAAAATTCTCCTTTAAAAATCCTCATTCATTTGGAGAAGTGGGTCATTTCGGTTCAAGAGGAAATGGTATGTTTCTTTGGGTCTTGATTGAGTGGGTGCTGTGAATTTAACTCATGCTGATGTCATTACATTGCAAGGGTCTGGCTTGAGGAAGAACAGGCTCAGGGTTGCGGTTTAAGATGCAGGCTGTGGGTGGGTGTTTCAGAAATGATGACTTCCTGAGGCTGGAGAGATGCCTCAGTGGTTAAGAGCTGCTCTTCCAGAGGATCTGGGTTCAGTTCCCAGCATCCACATGATGGCTAAACACCATCCATAACTCCAGTTCAAGGGGATCTGACGTCTTCTTCTGGCCTTCGTGGGCATTGCACACATGTGGTGTACTTATACACATGCAGACAAAATACTCATACACGTAAAATTTTTTAAAAAGAAATGATGAGCTCTAGTCTGAGTGTACTTGTACCTGTTGTGAACTTGGTAGTGATGGTGGAACTTTTCTGGGGTCCTTTCTCTGCAAAGATCCTCAGTGTGTATTCTGTGGCAGGCTCGAGGTCAGCCAGATCATATTCCACCGTATTCCCAGACACTGTGCGTGTAACTTCTGGTACTAAGCATGAAACAAACAGCAAGGCAGTTAGCTCTTGGCAAACAGCATGCATGCCTTCTTCTAAGACAGAACCTTTCAGTGACCCTGAAGCAAAGTGGGTTTAAGTTCTGAGATGACTCCCAGGTCTTTCTATCTCTTGAGCACTTACGTGTACAAAGGATGGATCATATAGAGACTGGATTTTTCCAGGCACCAGATCACAATGACACGAAGCTGGGGGGGGGGCGTCAAGGATACTATCCCAATATGGTGTACTGGCTGAAAAAGCTTTGCAGCTAAGACACAGGAATGAGATATAGGGGCGTCTCGGGTACCATCCCAGAGTCTTGGGTTACTCAAACTGAGTTTGTCCCACTGTTTGTTCTCCATTCTTTTATTTTGTGCATGAATTCTCTTATAAATTACCGAATGCTGTCATATCAAGGATCACTAAATCCTCAAGGCTGAGGGGTCACAATAATCATAGATCCTCAGAGTCTGGCAACGGCCTTTTAGGTCCCTTGGTTCCTTCATAACCAATAGGGGAAACAAACCATAATGCCTTGGCAAAAATATTTATCTTCTAATCAGGGAACCCCAATCCTGTTTTGTTAAGATTGAAGTTTCCCCGGTATGGAATTTCAATGTTAAAACTGGGAAAGTCCCTGGCAAACTAGGACAACTTGATCGCCTTACCTCACTATCAACAAGCCCCACTATGCCTCTGGCTCAATCCCCTTGTTAGTCCTAAATCCCAAATTTCCAGGATTCCTACCAAGTGTCCACTGATGGTTTTAGGGGATGTCAACAGCATCTGCCTGTCTCTGAAGAATTTACTCACAGGGAATAAGACAGAGTAAAATGAATAAGCCTAATTTTCCCCCTTCTGCCCCACTTTTGCTCTGTCCTCACAAAGAACTTCCTCAGATTATTACCAGGGCTGAATTAAAATTTTCAGAGGCCCCAGGCACGAGTTGTGGTATCATCTTATATTGTCAGTAAAAGCAAAACAACACTGAACCATAAAATGTAAAACACATTTATTTGAAAATTGAAATAGCAAAGTAATTTCTAGAATAGCTCATTATGAAACTATGGATGAGTTTATTGAAAGGGGTTTGGCTTTGGTCTTGTTTGCATTTGATTTTACTTTCTGGTGATGGTGCTTGGCTGGTGCTCTCAGCAAGAGCTCAATCTACCCACTGGTTGAGTTGGTACAGATGGTTATAGAAATAGGAAAAGAAACCCCAGATTTTCCAATCAAATTTGTCCCAATTAGACTCTCTGCAGGCCTCTGAGAAGCCGTGGCATCCCAGGAGCATCTCATGCAGTCTTGTTAAGACTTTCGATTCTAGACACTTCTGTAAAGGATGAGAGCTCCTTCCTAGAAAAGATGGTCTACTGTGGTGTGGTTTGAATGTAAAATGTCCCCGTAGCCACATGTGTTTGAGTACTCGGTCCCCAGTTGGTGGTGCTATGTGGGAAGGTTGAAGAGTCTTTAGGAGGTGGAGCCTTGCTGAAGGAACTGGGTCAGTCCAGATAGGTCTTGAGGTTTTACAGCCTGAACCCACTTTCTGTCTACTCTGATTCCTGACTATAGATGCAATGTGACCAGCTGGCCCCCTGGTCCTGCTTTTCTCCGTCTGATTTCGTGCTTTTTCTTCCTGCTGCCATGCTTTGCCTGCCGTGATGGAATGAACTTCAACTGTAAGCCAGAATAAAAACCCTTCTTCCCTTAAATTGCTTCTCAATATTTTGTCACAGAAACTAGAAAAGTAAGAAATATACATGTGACCAGGCAGAACCCAGCAGAAGAGGAGGATCAGCTAGGAAATCATGCAGAGGCTTCAGAGGCACCTGCTTATGTTTTCCTCCTCAAATGGTTTATCAGATTCTCTTGAGGATGTAGTGGAGAGTTACAAGAACATTACTGGCTTTTCCAATGTACCAGCAAGTTTTGTCATCCTGCATACAATGAATGTGCCATGTTGAAAGAATGGGAAAATTTTGCTGTAAGACAACCACTCACCAAAGTGACAAGAACCTGGGACAAGACCGTACCTCTCTCCCCCGTGTAGGAGATGACATAATTGTCCACAGTAGCAATGGCTGGCTGCCACATGGCTAAAGCTTCTGAATCTGTGATGTTGGCTGTCACCAGGCCAGAAGGGCCATCCAGAGCTGCAGAGAAAGATGGTGGGAGAGGAGTTGGTGATGGTGGAAGACCACATCAGAGGACAGTGGTCCTGCTGGTGTGGATTCACAGGGTCAGGTGCATGGAAGAAGATGCAGCCAGCCTGACCTGGCTTTATACCATGACTCCTTCACACGTTGGTGGGGTTAGCTTGGGTCTCTGTTTCCTAACCTGTAAAATGGATGTGGTAATACCAACTGGGGTTTTCCTCAGTGTTATTTTAATTTCCACATGTTATTACAGTGCTGGAGTGTTGAGTGTGTAACAAGGGTTATCAGTTCATTTCCCCTTTGCCAAGAAAGGAACATATGAAGTAGGCTTTTTTTTTTGGTCTTTTAAGACAGGGTCTCCTGTAGCCCCAGCTGGCCTGAAACTAACTCACTATGTAGACCAGACTGGCCTTGAACTCACAGAGATCCTCCTGCCTCCCAAGCACTGGGTTTAAAGGTATGCACCAGCACTCCTGGCCTATCTGAAGTAGTCTTGCATGGTCAGTACTGCCTGAGGCTTTTGTGGGCTTTAGGTGGTGTCTCTATTTAGGGTGCTGATAGGTAGTGATCTTTGGTCTCAGATTCTGTCTTTTTTTGCCTCCGACTTTGTGTCCTTGGGAAGGACACCTCACATTCATCACTTGTCAAAGTATGGCTACTGTAAGAATAGACTAGATGACGCATGTAAAACGTGCTGGGGAAGCTTTTGGGCTTTCGGCTGTTAAAAATAAAATATTAAAGTTTTTTTTTTTTGTCTGTAGGAGGATCTTGAGTTCAAGGCCAGCTCGGATTACAAAGACTGTCTCAAAACAAGTTCTTTAAAATCTTAGAGATGATTTCAAATGAACTACACTGACAAAAGATATTCAGGAGTGTAAATCCCTGACTTCTTTTAACTGATCACTTTCTTTCCCAGCATCCCTTTCTTGGTAGCTGACCTGAATGAGGCACCCTTCTCTCTTGCTTTTTGTAACCTCCACCCAATTTCTCCTTAGATGGTTTAGAAAATGAGGGCAGCCATCAACAACTCATTTCACAGAGGGGCACCCAACCCTCAGATAATTGGCCTGAGAGTCAGGACATGACCAAGCAATCTAGAGAGCCCACATCATCCCCTTCAAGTGCCTTCCTGCTTCATCATGCGTGGACAGAATGTCCTTTAATTTTGATGACAATGAGGCCTTGGAAGGAGACACACCCAGCTTTTGTGTCTGTTGCTGTGGAGAATCATGAATAAAAGATTTCTTTGGGAAAACAGAAGCCTGAGTGGAGGGGTGGATGGGACTCTGGGTCAAGACGGGATGTTTTAACTGCACATGATCAACTCTTGTAAGCAATTAGGATATTTTTGAAATTTCCTGTGAGGTATATTCTTTCAATCCCTTAATGGATTAGATTGCATAATTTGCCATATCTCAGAGGATGAACTGTTCAGAGATAAAGATGTCTAAAGAGAAGTTTTCCATTTCATTCTCCCTCAGTACAATTCAACATTTCCCCTCCATTATAGTAGATGGTACAAATCAGGCTTTAATGGGAAAACAAGCTTTAATTTTAAAGGGTTGTTAGGGTTGGCAGTCAGAGTGACCTTGTTCAGTTCTGATTCCACATTTGTGAGGTATATGGTTGTGATTTCCCCATGTCTCAGGTGCCTCAGGCATAAGCTGGGAACTAAAAGTGTGGTGGGATGCAATGCGAAGAGTCAGGTAACAGTGCATCAGATGCCGGGGCGGCCAAGCACAAAAGGGCCTCTTGAGAGCTCTTACCACCGATATTTGGGGAAACATCTATTTTGAGGGTCTTCGCCATGGCTGCAGGCAACAGAGGGGAAGGAAGTGATGGGTGAAGAGGCACAATTGTATCTACAGACCCTTATACTATCCAGTGAGGGAAACAGAATTGTGCCCATGGTAGAGAAGGAAACTGGACTAATAGCCCACGTGACTAGCATATGGAAGAATATGGATTTCAACTCAGCTCAGTATGATTTCCAAACTTAGACTCTTTTCCACAATAGCCAAGGAACTAAGGCCTGAGGAAGCTAAGGATGTCCCTGAGATAATACAGCTCATAAGAACCAGGATGGGTGGAAGGGAGGCACCAAGCACTTTAATTCCAGCTCACTTTTGATTGGGGTTTCCTAAGTAACCTTTTCTGCAGTTACTGAGTCATGAGCCATAATGTTGAAGGCAGAGATGAATTGACACAAGTGTCTCTGAACAGCTAAACCAAAGCCCAACGCACCTGTAGTGAGTGACCCGGAGACAGGATCGCTTTCCTCGAAACCCTTCATGGCAATGACGCTGACGTGGTACTCCGTTCCAGGGATGAGCTTCACCAGCCGGGTCTCAGTTTCTGTTCCATCCACAGTTACCATGGAGGGGATACCTAGAGACCAGCAAAAGCAAGATTGGGAGTGGAGGACCACGCTGATGCTTATTCACTAGAGCCTCCAAAATGGTTGTATCCAGTTTGGAAATGAAATTATGTCTTCATTCAATTCCACTTTCTTGACTTCCTCTCATTTTTCTCCTGCCTTCTGGCATGAAAGAAGAGGCCTTACTTTTTGTATAATGCTTTTTCCATTGGTGCAGATGCCAAAAACCAAGCCAGGAAAGGAAAAAATCATGAAGTCACAGCATACTAAAATGGCAAGTTTCCTTTCGGGAAAGAGCTGGAATGTTATGTTAATTTTATTTTCTTTACTTTTCCCACCATGAACTATATGGGAAATCTCACTATGAAATGTACACATGAACTACTTTACTCATTGACTTGACAGGATGACACACACTCCTTTATTATAGAAATTCTAGTCATAATGAAAAAAGATAGTAAGAGTTAAATTTGTGCTCTTATATTTATTAGGAAGTCTGGAATTTATATTTCTTAGAGTTTCAGGGTTGACGACGAGTTTACATACCGCCTGGTCAAACTCCACATGGAGATGCTATAGTGTTCCTCTTCTCTTTACACACCTCTAATAACAGACAGCCTACCACTTGGCAAATTGTCTATTTAGAGTGCAGACTATAACCTATGCGTTCTGAGCCATGCCTCAGAACTGCTCTCAACTCTCCATGTTGTAGTGAGACAGGCAGATGTGGCATCCAAGGGCCAAACCTCACAGGTAACCAAGACTAGGTTTTAGATGGCTGTGCTCAAAGGAGAAAAAGAGACAGTTTACATAGATTCCTTTGTCACTGTGTTTAAACAATACCAGGAACCTATTTCTTGTAGAATTTTAGAATTTCAAGGCTAGAAAGGTTGTGAAAATGACTTTTCTGAAGATAATTTCTTCCAAAGATCTTATAGAACTTTACACAAATGAGATCTCTCAAGATGGTCTCAAAAAAAGGGAAATAATTGTTGTTGGCTATGATGTTTGGGGTTGGGGAATAAGAGAATTCAGGGTTTCATTCACTATGTAACCCTAAACTCATGCTCTTCCCACCACTTCTGTCTCCAGGTCCCTTACCTCCTGTCATAGGCACATATGTAATCCGGAAACTCTCCACCTGGGCAGTGGGTGCCATCCAGCTGACGGTGGCTGCATTTTCAGAGATGTCTGAGAACACGATTTCCTTGGGAGGGCCCATGGCTGTCAACGAGAAAACACAACAGAAACCCAGAAACATTATCTATCTTGTCCACCATTTTTTCCCCCGAATTTGTTATCCAGGAGTACTTAGTACCTAGAGTTGATGTATGAGCCAAGCTGTTGGGATTAAGAATGTGTGCCAAGAAAAAATAAAGATAAAGAAGAAAGAAAGAAAGAAAGAAAGAAAGAAAGAAACAAAGAAAGAAAGAAAGAAAGAAAGAAAGAAAGAAAGAAAGAAAGAAAGAAAGAAAGAAAGAAAGAAAGAAAAAGAAAGATAGAAAAATCACTCCAGGGACCGGCGCCAGGAACGACTGAGGAATATACAGTCACTTGGATTCACTCAAGGTAGGTGTTAGCATCTAATTAGCTTCCAAAGAGATGAGGAGCGTGGCTTTTTTTTTATTTATTATTTTTAGCATTTTAAAACCTTTGCTTTCTGTTTCTTTTTAATGGTTAAGACACGAAAAGATTGCAACTCTTTTCTACTTTCAAGGCTTAGTTCCCACCTAGAACTCCCTGAGGTGAAAGTGTGTTTGTAGCCACTACACAGGAGAGCAAAATGCACTCTTTCTGTAGCCAACATTCTTGTGATGGGACCTAGGACCTATCTGGATCTCTGGATTGGGCAGCTGAGCCAAGCATAGCCTGGCATCCTGGAAACCATGTTCATTTGGAAATTAATATTGAGAAGCCCACCCCTAGATCTGAAAGGAGGTCCAAAGTCAGGTAGCAATGTCAGGCCATCACCAAAACAAACACTGATGGGCCCGTCTGTGGGAAACCCATGCCCAAGGGGCATTTTTTCTCCCTTAATTTGCCTTCTTCAAACCCAGTTTCCTTTGGCTTTTCTCTGTGTAATTTTTGGCTTAAGATTTTGCCCACTTCAGCTGACCATGTTAACCAGAGAACTCAGGAAACAATTTTCAGGCTCTAGGGAGCTTGTTTCTTCATCCGTTCCCTTCTTCAACCCACGTTGATCATTAAGTGTGGGAAGACACAGAAATATGGGGAGAGAATTTTTTCCAACCCATTTCTGTCTTTTTCTCTCATCTAAGGCATCTCCACCTACAGTTTTCTTCTACGACCTGGAAACTACCCCAAGTCTCTGTGGCTGCTGGGCTTTTTGCCTCGTCCCTGGAAAATTTTTGAAACCACAGGGTCTCAGGAACCTTCAAGACCTTCATTGTCCAAATATCATTGAGAGGCTGGGCAACCTGGGGCAAGTCCCTTCACTGCTGTGAGCTTCAGTTGCAAAATCTGTCCAGTGGAGAGAGTGGCACCCACAGGAATGTTCTGCGGATTAGTGAAGATGATGGATATGAAGCTCTTAGTCTGGCCTCTGGCATGCAGAATATTCATGAAACGTGTTTGCCTTCTCTATTTTCTTCCCTTATAACCCCTTCCTCCAGAGGCCACCCAAACCTTAGGGTATTCCCCAGGAAAGTTCTAGATGAGTCTGGCTAAGAGCAGACCCTAATGATATACATCAACTTTGGCTTAACAGATTTTCCTCTGCCCACCCAGTTCACTTACTTTTACTCTGACTGCAAACCTCACTGGTTTTTACAGGTTATGGCACATTTTAGACATTGTACTTTATAATCAAAGATTTCTTCTCTAAATTCCAGTTGTTGTTGTTTTTTTTTTTATCAACAAAATGGCAATAATATCTGCACTGCTTTAAATGCTGGGGCTGAAGAGATGGCTCAGAGGTTAAGAGCACTGGCTGCTTTTGCAAAGGACCTGGGGTTCGATACCCAGCACCCACATGGTGACTAACAACTGCCTGTAACTCCAGTTCCAAGGGATCCAATGCCCTCTTCTGACCTCCGTGAGCACTGCTCAACACCCACACATATGCAGGCAGTACACTCGTACACATAAAATAAAAATAATAAATAAAATATGTTAAAAAAAACTATTAGTGTCCTTATCCATTACATACTTAGAGGAATGTGCTTGAAAAAGCACACATTTACCTGATAAAAGTTGTTTTTTAATTGAGTCTGATTGTAAAGAAAGCACTGCCTGGGTCTCCCAAACTTTTTTGCATCTCTGTGTGTGGTTTGCAAGTGTCAGCATGCACAGTCATGCATAATTGGCAGCAATCGCATGAGAGTGGTGGAATTCTAGAGAGAGTGGGCATGAGAATTTTGCACCAAAGAACTTCCTAGGTGTTAAAGACCATTTGCTGTTTCGGTGTCACTTGGTCATGAATAGGGACCCTAAACCTTGAGGTCTACAGCAGACAGCTATGCACAGAGCAACTGAGCTACAACTATTAACTATTACAAAGTTGGGGAGGGGCTAGGGAGATAGCTCAGTTGGTAAAACTCTTTCTGTGTAAGAGTGAGGATCTGAGTTCAGATGCCCAGCATCCACATAAAAGTTGGGCAGATGTGGTAGCCCACCAGTAATCCAAGCTCTCAAGAGACAGATCCAGAACAAGCTAGAGCTAGACTAGGTGAACTGGTGAGTTCTGGGTTTAAGTGAGAGACCCTGCCTCAATAAACAATGAGGGTGATTGAGGAAGATACCCAATAAGAGCCTCTGCCTATACAAGCATGTGCATACACGTGCACCTGCACCCACATATACATTTGCTGACACATGCAAACCACACACACATACATACATGCAAAAAAGTTGGGAAGACCCAAATAATGCTTTCATTATAATAATATGATTTAAAAAGCCCTTCTATTAAGTAAGTATATAAAAAAATTTTTTTGGTCTCTTTGAGACAAGGTCTCCCTGTCGCCCCAGCTGTCTTAGAACTCACTGTGTAGACCAGGCTGGCCTCAATAAATATATAAAATTTATAAAAGCTCTCAAAGAGGCTGAAAAAGGCTGCTCTCCACAGAAACTTTGTCTCTCAAAATCTAAAACAAATTTCTTTCATTAGTGGCAACTGACTGTCATTTAAATTTCTACAAACTTTCATTCATCACTTAATATGCATTAGGTTTTGTGCTAAGATAAGAGTATGGCTGCAATGAGCATATAAGCAAAACATTTGGCATTAGAATAACCTGAATTAGAATTCCAGGATGGCTTTACTTTCTGCAAATTTAGCACAGTGGGGCTCAGTATCTGCATCTGAAACGGGGCTGCAGATGACTCGCCTTTAGTCTGCCTGTGTCTTGGACAGTCAGCAAGGCACCTGCTTGTATATGACACAAAGCATGTGCTTTTCAATTGATGGCTGCCATCATTATGCTTCCTGGGGGAAGGTGTGAATCTGTGTCAGAGGTGTCAAGCATGAAGAGTTTGCATCATATGGAGCAGAGGCTTGCCAAGTATTTCTACAGATGTGCTGACCAGGTCCCTAGGAACAATGTCAGTACAGTTTTGTGGTCTGGCTTCAAATTCATCTGAATTGGAATGGAACTGAGGAGTTGTGCGGATGCCTGACTGGGAAATGTGGACAGGTTGGGAGTGGGGATATGTTCTGAAGGAAGGCAAAAGGGATATTGATTACTCTTTTGTCCTTAGGACTATAAGAGAGCCCAGGAATATATGTATATTAATAGATAGGGACACAAAAAAGAAGTATGTCCAAGTCCTAACTCCAAGCACCCTTGGTGGGTTTCAGGAGTCTCTGGAAGAGAACAGCAGTCATGAGATTGCTGGGATGGCTTGCCTATTTTCTGGAGACCTTCAGGATGGTGCACAGGGCCTGGCAGCATTTATCTTCAGTGAGGAGAAAGAAGTTCTTCTCTAAAGGAGACTGACTACATGGGAGAAAAGAAGCTACTGTAAGCACAGAGATGGACCGAGGAACAATCCACACAACCCAAGCAGCCATCAATAGAAAGATGCCTAAATGAGGACTAGGCGATCATCTCAGATAAGGCTTATCTCAGATAAGACAGTCAAACACCAAGTGAAGCAGGAGAAAGTGGTGACATGCTAAAACATCATGCTCACAGATTTCAATATATGTTGCATTTTGTCTATTTGTATTTCTGGAGAGACAAGAAACTGGAGTGTTTATGGCCTCTAGCTAGAGCCACTATTCAGGAACACAGTCAGACACTCCACTGTATATTTTTCTTAAATTTTGATTTTATTGTCCCTTAAAAATATGATTTACAACCTACCAAGCATGTAATATCTGGATTATTACAAGAGGCAAGGAAATTGCTAAGTACTCACTATTCCTGGTTGTGTTTAACTACAAGGCTGACCTTTGAGTTAAATTCTGTTTTGTAGATCAGAGACTTGAGACTTGTCCCAGGTCACACCACTGCTGAGAAAGAGAGACATGACTAGACTCCAATTGTCTGCCCAGAGACCATTAGGATGCACTTCCTTCCCTGCTGCTCTGGGCACTCAAAGAGGTCAGCTGATGCCCAGACAGATATCTCGCAAGGAGGAATCACAGTAGACCTTTATCAGGAGGAAGAGGGATAGCATGGCCACAGGTGTGAGGGAAGAGCGAGCAGAGCAGGGATGAATAAACAAAAGGGAAACTTTCTGAAGTTGAGGAACAAAAGGTGAATTTAAGCATGTGCTTGGGTGCTTAGATCACCTCTTCTGGCCTCTCCTGGTCCTGGAACAAGGGTGTGTAGGTACATATGGACACACATGAGTACACAAAAGCATATTCAGGTACACACACACACACACACACACACACACACACACACTCTCTCTTTTATCTTTGGCTGTGAACTCCAAGACCTCAGAGAGGGGACCCTAAGAGAAGAACTTCCCAATAGGCAAGCCTGCTTTTTATTTTCTTTTGTTCTTAAAAAAAACCCAACAAATCAAATCAGCTCATGCTTATTCATTCTTTTTTTTTTTTTCTTTAGAACTTCAGAGCTTCTAGGAAAAAATACCAGTAAAACAAAATCGGTGATCAGAAGTAAACTTTGAAGAGAGTGTTTATAAACCAAGGTCAAGATCAGCCTCTCTCTCTGATCCAAAGTCATTCTGTGGGCAGCCATGGGGGGAGGAAGGTCATGGTTGGCAAGGAAGGCAGCTATGCTAACCACTGCATCTCCAGTGCACGAGGTGGGGACTGTGCAGAAGGAGCAGGGCTTTCTCTTTTGCTGCGGTACTGCCTTAGGCCCAGAATTTTCTCCATGTCAACAAGAACTGGTTATGGTATCTGCAGGTGGACTTTTGGAGTTTAGTATATCTTGTCACTTAACATTCTAAAATATCTGTCTTCGGGCTGGGGAAATAGCTCAGTCTGTAAAGTGCTTACAGCACAAGTCTGAGGACCTGAATTCAATCCCCAGAAGCCATATAGAAAGCTGGGCATGGTGTCACACCTGTAATCTAGTCACTGCAAGAAACAGAGAAAGGAATAGCCCTGGAGTTTGCTGGCCTCCCAGCCTAACTGAACTGGTAAACCTTGTGTCTCAGTGAGAGGTACTATTTCAAACAATAAGGTGGGTGTGGAGAGATGGCTCAGTGGGCAAGAATGCTTACTATGTAAACATGAAGATCCATGTACCCATCTAAAGAGCCAGGAATGCCCATGTGTTTATAATCTTAGTGCCGTGTGTGGAGGTAGAGGCATGTGTGAAAAGATGTATGGATGGAGCTTGCTGCTGCAAGTCTAGCTCCAGGTTCAGGGAAAGATCCTGTCTCAAGAGAACACGGCAGAGAGTGAGAAAACATGACACTCCACAGCCTCCCCTGGCCTCTGTGCACACATAGGCATGGACACCTGAATACACATACATGTGCATACAGCACACCACACACACACATAGCACATACACATTCTTTGCCTCTCTGTCTCTTTCTCTCACACACACATCTACACACACACACACACACACACACACACCATAAACCCTCCCCCACACTTACATACATACATAGACACATACACACACACACACACCTGTCTTGATATAGGGAGTAGAGAGTTAGGACTAATGGGTTCTGTGCCTGTCAGAGAGAACACGTATGCCAATTCATCGATTATCTCTTACCAGATCTTCTTATTAAAGCAATTCCAGTAACAGTACTAAAATCAGATTGCCATTTGGAGTCTATTCCAAGCTAGCTGTGTGACCTTAGGCACATCACTTCACGTACCTGGGTCTCACAGTCCTGATGCATCCACAGAGGAAGGCTGAGTTCTGTGTGCAGTTCACCATTCCTCGGGTCCCTTTTGCTTTCCTGTGATTTTGTCATTCTTTCCTCCAGTTCCTTTGAAGCAACTGTCTCTATGCAATGTCATTTTGACTCTTTTTAGTTTTCTGAAAGAATTCTCCCCACTTCTAGATCTTTCTTTTTTCCCTCTAAAGAGTCATTCAAGTCTTAGGATTATTGTCATAAACAGATAGGCTACTGACCATCTCTTGGACACAGCAGATATGGAAAAAGGTCTCATTTCCCCTCTAGATGGCTTTTGGGGGTGGGCTGCAGGAAGACTGTCCTCATCTCACAGTTCCATCTTTAGCTTCACTAATCATAGTACTGACTGCTCACGTGCAGCCTTTTAGAGCATTGATCCTTATAGGTCCCTGTGCTACTTCTCCATCATCCCTCACTTAATGCACCTAGAACATCTGACCAAAGAACACGGAGGTGTGTTCTTGGATCCATACCATGAGATTGCAGGTAGAAGGAAGAGGCTTTAGTATTTAAAATGTGCAATGGTTGTCAAGATGATGATGAGTGACACTGTGATTAGTTTTCCTCTGTGGAGCTCTTGCTACATGCCAGGCCCTATGCTGTGAGTTTTACATGAATTAGTTTACTAAATCCTCACAACCCTTCCAGGTAACTGGCATCATATTCTTGTTGGTGTAAAGACTTATCCACATAGTTTAGGATAACATGGGCTAGGATTGAAGGAGCCAGGACCTGAATGCCAGTCTGTCTGCATCCAAAGCTCTTGTAATTACCCAACCCTGCAAGAAGTGCCCCAGAGTCATGACTTTCCTCTCTCCTCTCCTGTTTGTTTACAGTACCTGTTGTTGCTATGGCACTGACTGGCTGGGATCGCCTTCCATTGCTTATTCCATAGAGTTCAATTTCATATTCGGTGGCCTCTCTGAGACCTGTTATGTCCCTGGTACGTTCGGAGGAAGGAAGTGTTATTTCCCGTGGTTCAGATTGCTTTTTGGTATCTCTGATTCTGAGAACAAAACTGTCGAATATCCCTTCATCAGCAGTCCAGGACAGACGGAAACCATCTGGGGTGGCATCTGAAACTAGAAGGTTGTCAACTTCTGGTTCAGCTTCTAGAGGGAGAGAAGACGGTGGAAGGAGGAAAGAGAACATTATTCAGTAGCCAGAGTAATCTTCTCTCTGGTGGGGGTATCAGTACTCAGGCAAGGCCAGGCTTTCAGAGACAGAGGTGTCCTGAGATATCGGAAGATAAAATCATTCCACATTAATAAGTCCAGCAGGGCTAGGAGAGGGGAAAGACAGAGTTGACACATTCAACACAAGTCAAACATATGTTTGCATTTGTGAGTTTTGTCTAAAAGCAACTGCATTAATCCACATCTGGACTAAGCACTGGCCCCTCCCACATATTATTAAACAAGTTCAAAGCCATAACTTGTTTACATTTGCTTTCTGTCTTCCAGTGGCGGAGTGCCCATCCACTGTGAGCTCTTTTTCTTTTCTTTTTGAAAAGACAAATAAACCCGTGTTAATGATCTGTGGAGCTATCCCTGACAATGCTAATGATTATATTTCCCTTGAGCTGAAGCAAAATGACTTTTAAAATGTTATGATCTTTTGGCTTTGTTCTCAGAATTGGTTAATCTACTAAAGAAGGTTCCTACTCTTGACTTTCTTTCCTGTTTGATATCTTTTCTTCCAAATTTAACCATTAGAAAAGTGTTTAGATGATAGAACTGAGACTTAGAGCATACATATTCGTATCCATGGGTTTGTTTTGGATTTCCTTAACTAGACAAAACTCAAGGTCAAAGTAATTTTGGAGTTGAGTTTCCCAAAGTGTGTCTAAAGTAAAGTATTCCTGTTTGATCCCCTTTGTTTAAAGGTATTCCTTGTCAAATAAGTTTGGGAAATATCGATGTCTCAGAGATATACAATCAAAGATTCTGAAAAGTCTTGTGGCCAAAGATCTTGCTTCCAAACTTATTTGAACATGAAACCACCAAATGAAAGCTTTGAACAGTCTATAGAGTTTGTAATCTCTAGAAAGACTTTGGGAAACACAGATTTTTGACTGTTAAGGTTGTTAATATGATATTTCTGTAGGGATTATTATGGATTTAGTCTGTGTTGAAGAATCTCTCTGATATTAGTTTCTTACCAATTTAATAAATTCCAGTTTAGTTTTCCAATGACAAGACCACTGAGTAAGTTGGTTAAGATCACAGGTTGAGACAGTAAAGGTTTTAAATATCTTTTCAAAATATACTCATCAGTATATTTCTTTTGAGAAGGCTGAAATGTACCTGGGGACCAGCCAGGATGAACACAAAAAGGTAAATGGTGTAAGCACACAAGAGCTATAGGCAAGACATGGACCAAAGGCCTTGGAGTACCAAAGGGACACATTTCCACCTTCTCATTTCCAGGGTGGGAGTGGGGAGTGCTCATTAGGTATGTGAAACAAGGGAAAGTGTTGAAGAATATGAAAGAACAGACCACGTCTTCTGATTAAATATGGGATACAGATATAGATGTTAAAACCATGGTGATCCTGTAGACACATGACATGGAAAGGGACCAGGAAGAGGAGAGAATGGCTCACTTGAATCAAAATACCTGTAATAGTCTCAGCCCTCAAGGGCTTGGTTTGCTGCCCTTGGGTGAAGCCAGAGACTGTGACCTCATAGCCAATGCCAGTTATGAGGCCTCTAAGCTCCAGTTTCCTCTGGGTTCCTGAAAGTGTGAATTCTTGGGGGTCCAGCAGCTTCCCAGAATCCACCACCGTTACTAGAAAGCTGTCAAAGGCATTCTCCAATGCCATCCAGGAAACTGTGAACCCGTAGGGATTAATGTCGGAAATGGTTAAGTTTTCCAGAAGGGGCAAGGCCTCTGAAAGAAGGGAGGAGTGAAAATGACTCAGGTTAGCAGCACTGACTCTGCTAGGACAGCATGTCTCCACGAACACCGATAGATCCCCAGTCAATCATTCCACAAGTAACATTCTCAGTAAAAGAACACTGAGTAAGAACATCTTAGGTGGGGCTGGAGAGATGGCTCAGCAGTTAAGAGCATTGGCTGGTCTTGTAGAGAACTCAGGTTTGGTTCCCAGCACCCACATGGCAGGTAACAATCAGTTTCAGGGATTCTAACGCCCTCTCCTGACCTTCAAGGGTACTGCACCCATGGGTACACTTACATACATGCAGGCAAAACACTCATGCACACAAAATAAAAATAAATAGATAATAAATAAATAAATAAATAAAAATTTACATATCTTAGGTGCCTGATAGTGTTATGTAGAGTAATCATCTTAACAAGACTATCTGGTATCATTCTCATCTACAGGTAAGAAAATGCTTTCTAAAAGTTGGAATAATTTGGCCAAAGTCACAAGCTAGAATGTAATAGAATAAGGTCTTTAGCTGAGCCACTGAAGGCCACATATTTTTCTATGAACATATAGAATACCTCATGTCAGGTTTGAGCCCCTTATTTACTTTTACTGTTTTTGCTTCTGAATTTGAAGAAAATCAGATTTTTGTTATTGCTGCAAGTAAACTTCCTTTTTGGTAAATTTCGTATGTTTCTCCCCCACTTCTAGTTCACATTTTGAACTGAGTCATTTGGGCCAATTAGTGATACCAATTCATAAGTTGAGATTACAGGAGCTAGTAAGATATTTTTTATTTGTCCAAACTAATAGTTTATATTTATGGCTGGTAAGGGATTCTAAGATTTGTTATTTTTTGCTGTTTATTTTCCTGGATAACATTAGAAAACAAGGACACATCTGGGTCCTCAGGAAATTCTGTTATCATGTTTTATTCATTCATTGACCAAATATTTATGTCCCAGGCACTTTTATTTCCTAGTTGCCAAGGGGTCTGTTCATATATTCTTTGGGATTCCCAAAGACTGAGCTTGTATTAGCCAAGTTTCTGTCAATAACTCCCAGTTGAAGAGGCTGCACATCCATTGTTCAATCTAACTCAATGATGCTGAAAGGTAGATATTGCTACCTATCCCCTAATCTCAATGACATCTAAGGAAACAGTTTAGGATTTATACAAGATCACAGATCTACTAGGGGTCTAAGCTGGGATCCAAGATGGTCTTTTGGCTCCCAGTTCAGTGTTCTTTCCAGATCATAAGCCAATGTCTAACTAGTAATCCCTGTCAGCTGGCACATCCTGAGGCATTGAGAGGATTTGAGGAGATGGCTCAAAGCATCCTCTTTAGTAAACCGGCACTTAGCAATGCTGAATTTACTTTTTATCAGAGGAGGAAAGGAGACAGGAATTCCATGGCCAAGTCTACTTTAGTGGCATCTAATTTAAAACCTTTTCCACTGAAGCTGAATTGGAACTTTCGAAGTGATAAATGACCTGGCACTACTGGCCAAAGTCAAATCCATGGGCTATAAAGAAAATTAAAAAGAAGTATTTGGTGACTGAATGAATAAGTGAATGAATGCCTTCATCCAGAACTAAGCAAAGTCTTACATTTTGCTGTGGCTTGGACTTCCTGTACTTATTTTGAAACAGTTAATTTTTATTTTGAGGAAATTTTTAAATGTGATGATTTCCCAAGAATCATAACACCATCAAAGGGAAAGATGAAATTGTATATACCACATAAATATCCTTGGTCTGTAAGACAAGGATATCATATGTTGGTTTTATTTAGATAAGTGACTCTTTCCTTTTATAGCTGGCCTCTGCACCTCAATGCCATCAAAGCAGTGAATTCCACTAAAAATGAGTGCTTTCAGGCTAATTAGTCAACCAAGCACTTGCTTCTTTAAAGTGTAGCCTTTCACATTAAGGATTAGCAGAGACAATACTATTAACTGGCTCTAAGGTTCCTTCCTAAGAATAGCTCTCTCAGCCTCCCTTTGGTTCTGCTGGAGGTCCTGCAAGAGGTAACAAGTAAGGGCCTGATGGGATCTGTGTCATTGAGGCAGTGAAACTCTTTCCCCATACCTGCTTCTCCTATGTGATGTAAGAAATGGCTGTGTCCTGTCTTTTAACGTGATCTAAGTGTTTTAATTCATGCTTGATGACTGGGCAATAATAATAATTAATAATAATAATTTAAAAATCTTACATCAAAACATTTCCCATGTTGTAATAATAGGGATATTGTAATTGCATAGTCCTAGGCTTGTTGGTTATTTTAGTTATTTATGTGCTATGTTGGGAAGCAACTCTAAGGCCTAGTGTATGCTAGGCACATGCTCTACCACTGAGCTATACCCCAACTTTGTTGGTTACTTTTAAGAAGATGATTTGCTTCACACTATTGGGAGATTACAGGAAGGACCCAGCATCTATAAAATACACATTGGATGCTAGGCAGTTGCATTTCACCATGTCTGCCCTATTCCTGAGGTACGGTGCCAGGAGCCCCTGTGGGTGCCTTTCTCCAAATATAAGGAAATTGAGGTTCAAACAAGTTTGTAACTTACCAAGGTTATGTAGGTAAGAAGATGTGAGAGAGGTTTAGAAACTAGCCAGGCTTGATCTAAAATATCCACACTCTTTCAGAGTACCATAAATATTTCACGGACTTATTAATGTATCTTGCTTATAATAATTTAGACTCTGGGAGGGATTGGCTTAGTATGAAAGTCAGATGGGAAAGTTTGTCTCCTGAGTTGGAAGGCAAGAACATCTAAGCATTCTGAAGTTCTTTTTCAAGTTAGAAATTACTTCCCTGATTTTCAACATTTCACTGACTTCAAATATCAGTGGATAACATAGGCAACATTTCTTTATGTGGTTCAAAGAAAATTCAGAAGTCAAATGTAGTAAATGGAAATGGATGAGATTTAATGTACCTTGGAATTGGTCTACCTTCCCAGGTTGAACTCTGTCAATCTGTTGTACTTAGAAGTTTTAAGAGTAAGATTTTTGTTTGGTTTTGGAATTTTTAAAAATGACAAATTATATGGGAGGATGCCAATGGGGCAGGGTGTATAAAGATGATTAAGATGTTGTATATGAGATAGGCAAAAATTCAAAAAAAATTTAAAAAGGACAAATTACAATATTTCTGACTATTAGAGGCAACTGGGACAGACAGTTTATGGCTTACGTAGCACAATTTATGGACAAAATTCCCATCCGAGATCTTTACTAACTTAGAACTCACTTTTCAGCCAGAATCTCTGAGCTGTGGATAAAGCATCCTATGAAACAGGGCACAAAACCCCTCTGAAACTTCATACCACTGTGGAGAGCTCCAACAGTGATGGTGATGAGCCTCTCCTCAGAAATGTCAGTTCTCCCTTAGCATTTCCCTTTGATATCTTGCTACTATGAACAATGCTGCATAGCAACCCAAGTGTCCATCAATGGACCAACGGATACAGAAAATGTGGTAAATGCACATAGCAGAATCCTATACAGTCATGAAAGAAGGGAATTCTGTCATTCTTGATGTCACAGGTGAACCGAGAGGATATTACGCTAAGTGAAATAAGCTAAGTACAGAACAGCAACAACAAAAACCACTTCATGATCTCACGTCTATGAGGAATCGACGTTGAACTCATGGAAATAGAGTATTGAATCATGGTTACCAGAGGCTCGGATTGGTCAAAAAGTACAATGTTCCATTAGACAGGAGGAGCTTCAGTGAGCTACTGCATAGCATGGTGGCCAAGTTAATCATAATGACTTGAATGTTTCAAAATTGCTGAATGACTAGGTTTTATATATTCTCACCAAAAATGTAGGTGAGATGCTTGATATGTTAATTATTTTGATCCAATTACCCAGCACTGGCACTCTATGCTTATGTTAAACATGGCTTTGCCCCTGATAGATATGTACAATATCTATAGATTAAAAATAAAAATAAAGAGCCTTATGTTTGGAGTCAAGACCGCATTTGGGATTGAATTTTCCTAATTTAGAATGTCTATCTCCCTTTCTCCTTATCTGGTGCTAGAATCCTAAACAGACAATGGGAGCCTTTGAATACCTGTAACGACAAAGGCAGTGAGGGGTCTGGTGGGGTCGCCAGCCCAGGTGGTCCCTACCACACTGACTTCATAGGCAGTGTTCTCCACCAAGCCCGTGATGTGAGCTTGCTGTTCATCTCCAGGGACTGTGAGCTGCTGAGACTCATGCAGTGAATGAACATTGCTCACATTGATAACAATCTTTGCAAAAAGCCCAGCTTGAGTGGTCCATGACATGTTGAAGCTGTCAGGAGTAATATTGTTAAGGATTAACGTGCCCAACTGTGGCTCTGGCTCTGAAGGGAAGGAACATGACAGAGAGAGAGAGAGAGAGATGTTGTTAAAGGAAGCAATAGATTTCTTCAGAATGCCACCATAGAGTGTGAATGTATGTATATATTAATGTATTCGCAGAAAAAAAATAGGACATTAGGCAGTATCTACGCTCGCATTGATGATAACACCTGGGAATTTATTGCTTTTTATGAAGGCATTCATTTACGTTCTTTTATAAAGTATAAGAGCTTTAGTCACTTATGAAGGAAAGTGAACAAGGCATTAGAACTATGGATGGGATCCATCTAGAAGGTATTGTGGCTACATTTTCCAAAACCTGTGAGGGCCACTGGCTTTTTAAGATGCTCCAGGGAAAGACAATTTGTGTTGAAAAATCCATCATAAACAGAGATTGTTATATTTTACCATAAAGATTTACAGTGCATGCTTATTTTCTAAACAGTTTGATAAGCTGGTTCTTTAAGGAAACTTATGTAATCTTGTTTATCACAGCATTTCTTAAAGCTGTTGATGAACTGATAACCTATATTAGGAATGTCTTTGAACATCTCAAGGAAATAGAGCTCCAGAGAGCATGATTTAGAAAGTGCTTCTTGTTCCCAGTGTTCATTTGCTCTTTCTGGATTGCATATTTTAAAGGTTAATAGCCATATGAGGGAATTTGGTCATTGGTGTTTGGAAACCTAAAGGTATGATTCATAGGAAAATCCACACCTCATCCTAAGTACTATAAAGATGAAGATGACTTCCATTAAAAAATTCCCAGTGGCCAAAAACCTGAAGGAAAACAGAAAGTTACGTGCTCAATTTTCTGACTAGCCTATTTATTCAATGGATAAATTGCAAAGGTGGAGGATTCCTGGGGCTGGAGAGAAGGTTCAGTGGTTGAGAACACTGACTGCTCTTGCAGAGGACCTGGGTTCAATTCCCAGCATCCACACAATGGCTAACAACCATTTGTAACTCCAGTTCTAGGTGATCTGATGCCCTCTTTTGACCTACATGGGCACTGCACGACATAAGTGCACTTACATACTTGCAGGTAATACACTCATACACATAAAATAAAAATAATCAAGTATTTTTAAAGAAAGATGGTGGATTCCTTTGAGGTTAAACTTCGCTTGTCTCTTAAGTCTAAACCCTCAGTGACAAGAACAGCTCATTTAATGTAACAGGCCTTCATGGCTAGTTTCAGCTCAGACATACGTGTGGCCAGCCTTTTAAATAGTCATTTATCAAATAGTACTAATACTAAATACTAAAATAAGTTAAACTCAGATTGCATGTTAAAAAGAGGCAATCGTTCTAGAGGACTGAGCTACTAATAGGATTTAGGGTTGAGAAGAGGGAGATTATTTTTTCTCAAGGACTTGGGAGTTGTTTTGCTCCAGCTCCATATTTGGAGGTAAGGAAGGGGTCACCTAAATAATCTTTCACTGTAAAAATGCATGGCTTTTATGTCTTGGAGGACAAAATAGATCTGGCTCGGAAGCCCCATATAACCATAGGCAATGGTCCGATTTTCTTATCAATTTGAGATGCTACTAATGTTTTCAGCTACCACATTAGCAAATTTCTTCAACCACATAAAGGATACATCTTCCAAATTGAAATGTTTTTCTGTAACAGTCTTTTACGTAACAGTCAACACCTGAATTCCTGACGCATCCTCATATTACCATAAGAAGATTTTCAGTGTCAATTCATTCATCTTGCAGATGAGACCTTGGTTCCTGAGGTTACTTTTACCTTCATCTAACTCTCAGAGGATGCAACCAAACTGCAATGTGAAATGTAAGAAAAATCCCAGAAAAATAATGCCCTAATGCTAGTTAGGGTGTAGTCAGTGTTCCATGCAAGCAAGGGACAATTGTTTCCTGCCTCTTCTAACCCTTAAAAACAATTCCTTGACATGCTATCTGCTTCCATGAAAGACAGACATGTTTAAAGATGTAATGCTCTGAATATTCACCACATGCACTGTGCTTTTGACAAGATGACGGATAGGAAGAAAGTTCTGACACTTTGGAACAGATTTCAGGAGGTGACTATGTATGCTTGACAGAATACATATCAAAAGAAAGCAGTCTGTTTGTCAGAAATGCAGACAAAGGAAAATTTCCAGAACAAGATGACACTACTCAGACTTCACATGCGGTTCTTGGGTTGGGATTTAGAGTCTCCTTTCAACATGCTAGGGGCACTACTATTTAAAATCTTGGTCTACAGAAGGAGGCTACAGATCATTCTGACCCAAAACAACATGCACACATTTGCATGAGAATAGATGCTACTAGATTGTTCAAGGCTGGATGAGAAGATGGTTTAGAAATTCAATCAAAGCAAGTCAGGTTAACTCAATCCAAACAGAGCATCTCCAGATGAGAGAAGATATTTAGGTAAAAGCAGTAGGATTCTGAAGTTCTTTAATTTGGGGTGAAGTGTATTTTAAAGTTTTAAAACTCTGATTAGATGGTTCTATCAAACTGGGACAGAGCTAGTATAAGGAGAGGGTTGAAAAGTGGCATTAGCTGATTTTTAAAGTGTTGTTCAGAGGGAGTTCAATGGTGACTGAAGAATCCATAACGAGAAATATCTGTGGTCATACGGACCTGAGTATGAGTCTGAGCATGCTGACTGCCTATCAGCCCATGAAGGTAGTGGTGTCCTTAGAAGAAGCTTTGAGGTTGGAGAAGTGAGAGGTGCAGAATGCCCCAGGCATGGAGCATACCACTGTTTTCTGGTGGTTATCAGAATTATTAACTTCTACAGGAAGACTACCATAGGCAAGTTCCTGAACTTTCTGCAAGATGGACATATTGCTTCAGGACACATTTGAGACCTGCTTCTAAAAGCAAAATTTGGCTCCTAAAACCAGACAATTACATATGAAAACATGTCCATCTAGTTCAAAATCAAAACATAGAAGACTAAATCCATAACATTGTAGACTCTACCTTACAGGAAAGGAACTTGTCCTTTGTTGAAAACTAACATGAGTCAAACAGATATGGCTGATTGATTCAGTTCCTTCAGTTTTATTATACTTTTACCTGCTGAGTTGGAAACCTGCTATTCTTGACTGATACAGTTTGTAGTCTCATAAAATGAGGGCAGATTCTCCCTGAACCATTGGTGACCTAAGTAGCAGATAATTTTGATGCTATGCCAGTTCCTTTCTTGAGTTCCCCAGAAAATGAACTCCTTTTTTGTGAACTGCAAGGAAAAAAATTGTGTTTCTCCCAGACTGTATTCATTTTTCTAGTGTGGGGTATATTAGTTTATCTGTTAATAGAAGGCATTTTCTGAAATGCAACAAGAATGCTCTTTTGAATGGACAAAGCTCTCCTTTCTAAATTCACATATGGTTCCTTCTTACCGTATGACAGAAAGCATCTGGTACAGCATATGTGTACAGACAGCACATATCCAGAGTGAGAGCAGTTTGCTTCTTTTGGAACCAAGCTCCTTATATGAGCAGGACTGTTATACTTTAGTTTTTGCTATGTGCGTTCACTGTTCTTGGACCAATGGCATCTTTCTCAGTAGAGATGGTATTCAAGTTCAGGTAATCTGGCTAGTGTGACTACCTTCTGCTCATCTGATGAGCTACCTTTATACTTCCTTTTTACTTCTCTAGTTCTAAACAAAACATGGTACTATTGACAATTGTTTTAAGTCACTAGGCTATTTGGATATGAGGGTATTCAAGGTTCTAGGAAGATGAAGATGCCAAGATACATAAAAACGTGATGTTTAAAACCTCTTTGTAAGAGACATACTTCCAAGCCCAGGGCAACTTTCATGACAGTTTTTAAATTGCCAAAGCGCGCGGGGAGGTGGGGGGTTCCCGTCTCTAGATTCTTCAATCTAGAACAAACTGCATATGATTCTTCCAGTCGTCTGCTCATCATAAATCAGGGATGTGACTTTATGGAAGTACACCATTTGGGTGGCTGTTGGAAAACAGTTTTGTTAGAGAGTGCAGCAGTACAGCATCCTAGAAATGCTAGCACACCATGGCTTGTACTTCATGGGTGACGAGTAGAAGTTGCTTCATCCTGCAAAGAAGGACTGTGGAAAGAGCACGTCAGAAACTAGAGAACGCTCATGTACCTGTGGTGGCCGTGGTACTGATGGTTTTGGTCCTGATGCTGGGAGCAAGTCCAGAGAGGTAGACAATGAAATCAGTACTAGGGGAAAGCCCTGAAATGTGGGCAGTTCGTTCAGCACCAGATATGTTATATTCCACTGTCTGCAGCAACCTATTAGAATCAATAATTTCAATGGTAAACGTGTCGAAGATTCCATCAGTAGCTGTCCAGGAGAGATTGAAGCTCTCAGGAGTTATGTCAGAAACATTTAGGTTTCCAATTTCAGGTTCTTTGGCTGAAAAAGGAGGGGGTAGGAGAGAAGAAAGAAATAAACTGAATTAATCGTCTGCTTGTGTTTTGAGATGGAGATTGTTAGTTGAACCATGCCTGGGGAGAAGGATCCAATAGTTCAGGGTTATGGCGAGATGAAGCGATGTTATCGGTCAGTGCCAATGAGAGAGAAAACGGGTTTTGTTAAGAGAAAAATGAACAAAGGAAGGTAGGGGAACTACATTTCTCTGTTCTGGTCTTGCCACGCATGATCAGGCCTGGTGAGACACTTTGAGAGAAAAGACAGGCTGGCTGGTTTCAGAGGGAACTGCTTCATCTTAGCCAAACTTGCCACAAGGAACCCTGCCTCAGGGTCACTGGCCATCAAAAGATATGAAGGCTGGCCACTTCTGGTCTCTTGAACTGCACTCAGGAGACTGGCATTACTCGGATGCTTTCTGCAGCCATCCTTGGCTTTTAGGGCACGCCTATCTATCCAAACGAATGCTAAATAATTCTAACATCATTGCTCTCCCAAGGTAGAACCTGAGGCTTCTGATTTTTGTCACTTGAAATGATGTACCCATTTCTCAGTGCTATTCTTGGTTATTTTCTCAACTTTAGATAAGGGCCAGTCAGCTGTTCCCATCATCTGTTAAAATAGCTTGTCCCCTCTTACTTGTGTCTACATGGGCCAAGAAGGCTGTCTTGCACTGCCAACCAGGATGGCTAAGCCAAGGCAATTTAGACGACACTTTTCAGCCAAGAAATAATATTTTGCCTAAAAGATGTCCTGCCAGCGCTATTCCGAGCAATAGAAATATAGCATGCAGAGGGCAGACATAAGCGGGATTTGGGAAGCTAGTACTGTCTCTTCAACCAGAAGGAAGAGTCCTGATCACAGAGACACAGATCAGATGAATTATGGGCCTTCTTCTCATGGGCCAAATCATCAGAGGCAAAAATGTTGCTATCATTAAAAAGAAAAACACACATGCACATAAAAATATGATGGCATCCAAACCACTAGACCTGCAGGAAAGATCAGAAGTTGTGGTGATTTCTTTGCCTTCTGGGAAGGGGTGGTTTGTGGAAGTCAGATAAAAGAGCTGTGGAGCACATTCAGAGAGCCTCAGTTGCAATTTCTAGGCATTCTGAGGTCACTGTCCATGCGGCAGTTGTCTGTGTTTTATGTATCTATCAATGACAGTTCCCAAAATCACTGAGGCTAAATTGCAGAGCTGTGCTCTTGAATCAATAAAGATGTAAAGGTTTGCTGCGAGAGTTTAGTTGCAGCAATTATATAAAAGAGAACGCAGTTACACGCCAGACAGAGCAGCAGCCTCTGTGGAGTTTCAAACCCATGGAGGCACATCACAGAGATGAGCAATGGAAAACTGGACTGGGAAGACTGTTCACGTTGGCAGGTTCCCAGGGAAGCAATGAATGCCTTGTAACAACTGGAACAGAGATGGGTAAAACATAATGTATCCATTGAGCTTGGGGCTGAGGGCTTGCCACTCAAGGGCCAGCACTCTGGGGGAACAACTTTTAATTCTCAGAGCAAAAAGGGCTATCAGTTCTGTTACATTCATAACCTGGAGCATTTCTTTCTCCAAAGGCTGCTGTGTCTTGCTAAAAAATAGCTTTCTTTTCGGTATAGTCTTTAGTCAGATTGTACTTTCTTTTTTTCCTTCTTGATCTGTTTGGTAATTGGATGCTCTAACAATGACTCAGTATCTGAGAGAACTGCCTGGAGGAAGGTAATTCAGCTCTCTTATTCTGCTCACTTCATTTTAAAGAAATATTTCTTAAATGCAAGCCCTGTGGGGCCCATCTCCACGAGGGATTTTGAGATAGTAAAGCACCACTTTCAAGTGGTGAATGATTCTCTAAAATAAATGACCTGTATTCTACCAGAACCCACATGGAAAAAGAGGGGGCCTTTGGTTTTCTGCCAGCACTGAAGAATGGAACAAAAACTACCAGGCTGATTCCCAAAATAAAAAAGGCATTATGTAAAAGAGATGTAGGACTGGCCAGGTAAAGCATGAGAGTGGGAGCCGGAGGCCAGAAAGGGCAACATCTGCATTGTTCATCATGACAAAAGGCATCAAGACAAAGGAATAGCTCACAGGCAGGGCTCTGAGCATGCACGGCTGGTGGGAAGGATTCAGCTATGGAGAAAAACTGACTCCTTTGCCATCTCTTGGAGAGAGGAGCAGTGAACCTTGGGGACTGAACATGGACAGGGGAGGAGAAGATACCTGTGGAGGCCTCAGCAGAGATTACTGGTGTTCTATGGCCCCGGATGACCCCATAGACAGAAACTCTATAAGGGGTAGCAGCCTTGAGGCCCGATACGTCCACAGCCCGGAGGCTGCCAGGCACCGTGAGGTTTTGAGCGGTCTCCACTTTGTTGGCCTCCTGCACCTGAATGACAAAGTGCTCATAGGCCAGGTCATCTGCGGTCCAGTTGAGTGTAAGGCCATCCCAGCTGACCTCAGTCACGGATAAATCTCCCAGCTTGGGGAGAGCCTCTGAAGAAGGCAGAGAGGTAATCTGTCAGTGCTGCAAACCAAGCGAGAAGGCTAAATGCCCCACAGCCCCACTCCAGGACAGAGAAAGGGGAGAGAGTCTTTGTTTGGTTTCTGGTAATCTGGGTATTTTTGGATTTGGATTTGGTACTCTGGCTATAGATCTGTTGAGTTGAAAACAGTCATAAATGGGAAAATCTGGATCATGTCTCCTTGAAAGGCAGAGATATCTGTGCCAATGCACAGCCCACTGGGAAGTCCCTAAGCATGCATGGCCCATGGTTAAAGACAACAGGGCAAAGATGGGATTGTGGAGTTGGGGTAAGGACGTGGGAGTAGTTAAAAGTGCAAGCTTTGGAAGCCGATAGACCTTGGATGGAATTCCAACACAAATATTTGCTGGTTGTCATCCTGGGCATCTTGGTTTCTCTGAGCTTTCGGTTTTAAATGGAGTTGACAATATCATCTTGTTGGGTTGTGATGATTAGATGACATTTATCAACATTTCATATTGTGTCTAGTGCATAGCGAGTGTCTGATAAATGACAAGTTAAAAAGCATAGCCTCAGTTTCATGTGGGAGAGGCTGACCTGCCTTGCTTTATTACCTAAGATTAAAGATCATCTTGCTGCAGGCTACCTGCGATGCACTTGCATTTCTAAAGCATGCGCCGTCTCAAGTCCTGACAGATGTGCTGTTTTATCTCTGAGCTTGTCTCTGCTTTCAGGGATCAGAGTCTACGCACTAGATTTTTGGCTTAGCTCTTCCTTGCCTACCTTCTCAGCATTTTAAGAGAAAAATCTCTGCGTCACAAAGCAAGGCTGTGTGAAATAAGCACGCCTACTTTTAATTTAAAACAATTCTGTTTTGCTTAGTAAATGGAGCAGAGTGGAGCCCACTATTAATTTTTTTAACTATTCAGGAAGGAAATTAATGTAGTCATTATTGCTGATTAAGAATGTGAAATGTGGAGAAATCCATTGCTTTGAGATATTTCCCAGGACTCAGTGCTATCTTCCAGCTTCGTGTGTGTGTGTGTGTTCACATGTGAGCAGTTGGCCATTTACTCTGTAGACCCTTTTGAAGCTATTTCTATACACCTCATGAACAGTTCACAGCTTTCTGTGATAAGTGGAACATTGTATTTTCAGGGGACAAATCGAGATGAATTGCTTTTTCTTCCTAACGTGGATGAAGAACATTGAGCTTAAATGTACCGTCCTTTCTTGGAAATGTTCTTAGCTCGAGTATCTGTTATGGAGAAGGACTTGGATGATTTCTGCACAAGAGGACTTATTGCCAAAATCTGCAGAGACCTGAATAGGCATTGGGTATTACTTAGTGACTCTGAGAGCATTAATAAAAAGATTTCTCTAGAAAGTTACAGTCTTATCCTGTGCCACAACTCAGCTGTTCATGGTGTCTCTTATGACAGTAACTATGGTATGCTTAGCTGTTCGCTAGTCAATGCTGACTACACTTTCATTCTTTAGCTATGGTTCATGGCATTGTTCTGAAGCAGGGACATATCTTGATTTGAAGATGAGAAAAAAGGCACAGAGATGCAATATAGCCAAGAATATTCATCCAGTCTACTGGGTAGGTCTACTGAGTCAGAGACTGATGTTGCCTAGCAACCACACTGAAACTGAAGTAAGGTCTCTCATCCTATGGAGGATTTTTTTTTTTTTCATATTCTAGGGACAGGTTAGCATATATCACATGTCTGGTTTGGGAGGAGGGCCATGTACCTGTGGTGACCTCTATGGCAAGGGGTTGAGTGCGGAGACCTCTGACCTCACCATGCAGGGTAACTGTGTAGGGAGTACCAGCCCTGAGGCCTGGGATTTCCACAGAATGTAGGTTGCCAGGAACGGTGAGATAGCGAGCCCCTTCTGTCTGGCCAGCCTCCTGAACCTGAACGATAAACTGGTCATAGGTTCCATCAGGTGTGGTCCAGTCCAGTATGAAGGCATCCCAGCTAAGCTTGGTCACTGTGAGGTTTCCCAGACCTGGAACCTCCTCTGTACAAGACATGGAGGGGCTGAGTTACTAAAAAAAGGCAATTACACACTGGGGTTCAGGTTTGACGGGGTTTGGCTCAGATTGGGATGAGCTGTCTGGTTAGTGTTGACTACTGATGTGTGATTTACTGCGGTACTGAGCACACTCTAATTGTTACAATTAAAGCCAACTTTCTGGGAATGAAAGGTGGTTTTAGGAATTGCTCAAAACTTCCATTCTTGATATACAAATAGGGCTATAGGGAGCTCTTCAGTATTCTTAAAATGAGCTCAGACTGATTTTATTTTTCACTTTCAAATGGCGCTTTCCAGTTTTTTAGATATTATGAATGAAATTTGTTTTGCAAGAGAAGTTACCTCTCACTTTTCAAAAAGAAGAATAGGTGGAATTTTCCATGGAACCAGCCACCAGGCTAAGACTAGAACTTGGCCAAATAAAGGACATGACATTTGGGAAGAAGCAGGGATGATTCACTGGTATTTCCCCAACAAGGAAGGGGCTAATCCCCATTAAGAGCTTTCATTCCTCTTGAGCAGAGACGGGAGATGGAACAAGCAAGTAGATGAGTTTAGAATACCTGTCAAGACTTCAACAGAAAGAGGGGCTGTGCTGAAGTCCTGCGTCACCCCACGGATGCTGACATAATAGCGAGTGGATGCTCTGAGCCCAGGCAGGTCCACGGACCTCAGTCCTCCAGGGACGGTGAGGTTCTTGGCACCTTGGGTGGTGTCAGCCTCTAGCACCTGAATTAAAAAGTGCTCATAGGCCCCTTCTGGAGCAGTCCAGTTGAGCTTGAAGGCATCCCAGCCTACCTCGGCCACCGTGACCTCTCCCAAATTGGGAGTCTCTCCTGAAGATGGACAAAAAACCAGTTTAAACTACATAGAAATATCTAAGGAATCTTGAAGACAAGAATAGCCTTTATATCACCCAAAAATGTGACTTTCTTTAGATAAGCATGCATCATGTAACTTCCTAAAATTAGAAATAGGAGAAGAAAGATGTAGGAAAATATTTGTTTTCTTAGCTTATTAAAGAATTGCCCTACATGCCTGTGAATACATGACTTATTTGCTTTTGAATAGCATTTAAACATCTGGTAACATGGGAACCTGCTTGGGCAGCTAATGGTCCTGTCCTGAGTCATGTAGACTATCCCAGACACTGTACAGTTTATGTGAAGTGTTAAGGTGGCCTTGGAGCTGTGTCACTTGATGGCTTGGCTGTCTACCATCACACCCCATGGCACTAAGGCTTGTGGCTAAGCAAGGCCATTCCAAAACTAATTGTATATGATTATTCTTGGGCAGTTTTCTGCTGAGAAAAACAGAAGCTTTAGATACGAAGGCGGGAAATACCTGTGAAGGTCTCGACAGAAAGCACTGGTGTTCTATAGCCCTGGGTCACCCCATAGATGGAGACTCTGTAAGGGGTGGCAGCTTTGAGGCCTGGGATGTCTGCAGCCCGGAGACTGCCAGGTGCTGTGAGGTTCTGGGTAGTCTCCACCTTGTTGGCCTCTTGTACCTGAATGACAAAGTACTCATAGGCCAGGTCATCTGTGGTCCAGTTGAGCATGAGGCCATCCCAGCTGGCCTCAGTCACGGTGAGATTTTCCAGGGCAGGGGCTTGTTCTGAACAATGACAGAGATATGGTTAGTTAAACTATTCCCCAAATGCTGACCTTTTGAGAGCCCAGCAAATCCATCGTCCAAGTCTCAAAGGCCCTTGGAGTCTCTGTACCAAATAACATTACTGACCCCCTTAAAATGCCAACAGACTGGTTAGTACAGTACTGATTTTATGTTTGTATATAGTTGAGTTTTCTTTGGGAAATACATTTTCCTATTGACAACTGTTCTAGGGAGGTAAACTCCATACGTATGTTAATGAGGCTCCAGGACTCAGATTCCAGTTTGCACAACAGTTGTCATTACATGAGGGTGGACCCAGCTGTTTTCAGGTCTTGGTCCTGCATTCTGTGCTTCTGTATGCTCTTAGACACACTTAGAGTTCTTTTTGTACTTCTTCTATCTTGCCTGGAAGGTCTGCTATTGTTTAATTTGGACTTTTCATGTTTCTAGAATTCAAATCAGTTTACAGCAACTACTCCAGTAAAGAATGTCTTTGAGCCTCTTAGCTACATACTCTGTTCCAAAGGCCAAAAATTTCAAAAGTGTTTGGGAGTTTGATCTAATCCCTAAATGATTTTAGGGTTACCTCTTCGGGGGGGGAAATGTTCGAGTAGCAAAGAGCCCCACTAAAGAAAGGAAGGAAGGAAGGAAGGAAGGAAGGAAAGAAATAAAAAAAATAAATCAAAGAAGAAGAAAGAGTACATGAAGTTGTCAGAAAAAAGTGATGGGGAGATATGGGAGGAGTTGGAGGGGAGAGAGTTGGTGTGGATTTGATCGAAACACCTTATATGCATGTATGACATTCTCAATAAATTCTTTTTTTAAGTTAAAAATAAAGTCTCGGGCAGTCAGTGGTGACTGATAACTAACAGGTAATAATTATTAAAACTCATAATAATTACAAGTCATATGCTGTATAATGATTTCCTCATCCATGTGCCTGTAAGTAACCTTTCTGCTATATTCCTGCAAGTAGGCCTTTGCCCATGCTCCTGTAACGAACCTCTGTCATGTTCCTGTAAAACGACCCTTTATCATGCTTCTGTAAAGAGCCTCAATAAGCTCATTAGTTCACCAAAAAAAAAAAAAAAAAAAAAAAAGGATAATGGTAAGTTAACACTGTCAGAGGATGAACTAAGAAAAGTGACAGGCTTTTGAGACACTGTCCCTTACCGGACCCTGGAGAAACACCTTATTAAGTTCTGTTAAAATTGAAGGATTCATCTCTTTGTCCAGAGCACAGAAATTTGATAAAATCTCCCAAGTCTGAATCTTCCTTAAGGAGATCATTTGCTCAGAGCTGAGGTTACGTGAACTCTACATGATCTTACAAACAAAGGCTCTCTCTGGAAATGGATCCTGTAAACCAGAGGGTGGGAACCGCCTTTGCTCCTTTAAAAGAACAAATCATTTTTCTTTCTATTTCCTACATAGCTGCTGTTTTCAAACGAGCCCTATATGACCATGAAAACAGCCTTTTTACTTGAAAATGTTAGCTTGTGAGTTGGGTGAGGTCATCCTTTCAACAGGAAAAAGAACATTTCTTTTCTAGAATCTATTTCACTTAGATTTTTCAAACTATTTCATATTGCTAAAGTTACAATGCTTCAAATTTCTTCTTTCTTTTTAAAAATTCATTTTTCATTTAGGACACAGGTATACTAGGTGGGAAAACCATTGGGTCATATTTGACCTGCTGCCTAGTTTGATATTTAGCAAGCTGATATTAGTTTGGATATCTTGAAATGGCTGAAAAACAGCAATCAAACTAAACTAAGGAATGATATTTCATGATGCCTGAAAGTCAAATGAAATTCAAATTTCGGTGTTATAAATGAAATTTTAGTGGAACACAGCCACAACTTCCAGATCCACATGGTAGATGGATGCTCTTGTGTTAGGACCGAGTAGTTGTCACAGAGACTGTCTGACCTAAAAAATCTAAAATATTTATCATCTGGCCTTGTACAGAAATCATTTTCACTACCTGAGCTTGAACGATCATCTATGGATTCTTTGTTTAACCTAATTTCATGTCTTGAAGCACACATTCAAGTTCTTTACCAACTACACATGATCTCTACAAGGAGGGGAACTCCAAACTCAAAGTGATGTATCTGGACTTGGGGAAAGGAAGGAGGGCCAGTTATCCTTTAACCAATGTGCCCTTGTGAGAGCAGGAAGAAGGCTTCTAGATATGATTACATCTTTGGTCTTGAGATTTCAGCACAGCTCAATTCCCAGCATGCCTTTCTCAAGAATCCCAAAAGTTCTCGTGCATAAGAAAATGTGAGGGAAAAAAAAATCAGATATAAGCAAAAAATAAGCTAAATGCTTCTGGCTCTCAGACTCTTCTTTGTAGAGCATTTTCCTCTTTCCATTCTTCCTGCTGTTCAGAACCACTAATCAGAAACTCAGGTGACACTGACAGTGTACAACCTGGCATGACTAAGTCCCTACCTCCCCTCTTCAGATATCTATTTTAAGCCGTATCGCTAGTCATGATATGAAATATTTTTTTTTCCCCTGAAAAGGATTTCAGATGCCAGGTTGCACACAGTGTAGGGAGGATCACTTAATGTGGGGAGGGAGGAGGTGATTACAGATCATCCTGGCAAAGCTGCTACAGCACCCTTAGAAAGAGAAGAGGAGGCAAACAGCAGAGCAGGGCCCTTCCTGCTGACTCCTGTCATCTCTGGGCATCGGTTTTTGTTGCTTCTGAAGCCTCTACCCAGTGACCTCACACTGTCCTTCTGTCTTCACAGTACCACATACATATGTACATGACAACGGTTTTAGTGTGCCTCTTCTCTCTACTTTGGTTATTTCTCCACTTCTCTTGCCTTTGACTTGTGTAGGTAAATTGACAAAGAGCACTGGTTTGTTACTTGCGAGCAGCACGCCGTCACATCTGCAATGCAACAGAGGCTGTTGGTCCACCACCCAGACCTCGCTGCTGAATACATGCTGCTCGAATAAGTAAAAGGTGAACGTGCCACTAATAAAGTAGGCAGATGAATGACAGGGTGGAATGAGAGTTATGAGAGAAGGGAGATGCTCTGAATAAAGATGCAGTGGGCAGTCGTGGAGGCGAGGATGACGCTGCACAGAAGTGCTGACTCTTCATTTCCACAGGAAATGACACACTCGTGGGTTTACTGCTTCGGTGGCCAAAGGTTCCCATTGTCCACTTGCATCCCAGCTCCCCTGGCATCCCATGATGAAAGGGCTGTTGTCTTTTTCTCACAGCTGTGCTTCGGAATCTACCCTCTGAGTAATGTCAGTGGGCCTAGGGAGTCAGACTTTCCAAACCTCTCTGTGCTCATGGTGGGCTGAACAGCTGCCAGGAGGATTTTCTCGCTTTGTTGAATTCAGAGCCTTAGAATCTCACCATGTAGATGGTGATTACCATGGGCTGGCAGGATGTGGAATCCACTCTGCACTTACTGGTGGGAGAGATTTATTTTCCCACAGTGAGGGGAAGGCCACCTCCAACTCTGAAGACCCCCAAACTCCAAACTCACTGTCTAGAGATTAAAACACGCTAAGCACAAAAGTCTTGACTGCCTTAAGGCTTTCTGGGGTCTCTGTAGCTCTCAAGAATGAAGCCCAAGTCCCTGAACATTCACTCTTTGTAGCTGGCCCTGATGAAGCCTTAGGCCTTGGAGCCTATTGTTCTCCCTCTTAGCCACACAGTGAGGCTGCCTGGCCTGCTTCGAGAGGATAAGGCTTCCGAGCCTTCTAGATAACTGTTCTGCCTGAAGGAAATGCTGCTGTAGCCTCTCCACTCTCCCTATTCCGTTGCTTTGTGGGGCCTCATCCAGGTTCCACCTCTGTTAAACCTCCTCTGAGCACTTCATCCTCTTTGATAGGTACATGCATGATGGAAGTCTGCTTCTATCCTGTGAATCCTCCTCATCTCTCTAAACCAGGTGGGCTGCATCCTATCCATCTGAGTTTTGATTCTGTCTTTCTCACTGCGGGGTGTACCATTTTGTGTCCCTCTATTCTGTCAACCTTGCCTGACTCATATCGTATACTCACAGTGTATTAAATGAATATATATGGGAAGGATAAATATTTGAACGAATTTCACTTTGTTCTACAGAAAATCAAAATGGTAAATCAGAGCAAAACGTTCTCTTATTACGGCAACTGTGATTATGAGGAAAATCCTATTGTTCTGTCTCCCAAATACATGAGAATATCTGGGATGTCACTCTTGAGTTGTGGGTCGCTGTGGAAAGATGTTTCAGTGGAAAGATGCTTCAAGGTCCTTGGCTTCTGCCTACCGTCCTTACTTAAGGCTTGCTGTTGCTCACAACAAATTTATAGCCTTTGCTTTGAAGTGGAGTTTAGGTAATGAGAACATGAATGTGGAAAGAGGAGAAAATGGAGAAAGGGGAGGGCGGCGATGGGGGCGGGAGATGCGGCTGGTACCCAGGATTTTCCTCAGTGCTGACATCAAAGTGTCTTTCTCCTCCTGGCCCCTCTTTCCCCCTCACTCCCCTCCCTTTCTCTTTCCTCCTCTCCTTTCATTCTCTCTTCTTTTAAATCAGTCTGAAACTGGCTTAACGGCTTCCCACATGAATGATTTCCCTGTCCTTAAAGATGGCAAACAGCTGTTAATGCAGAGGTAGGCAAAAAAGAGAAATCAGAAATTAGCAATGCTGACTGTGGAGCAGCTGGGCCCGCAGATGCTCATGAAGCTCACCCCGGCCTGGCTGTGCTCCAGGCACTGCTGGACTGCAGTGGGAAAAGAAGACAGTTCCTATACTCTAGCGACTGGTGGGAGGAGTTCAGGGATAATTAGCCTGCTATAGCCTAAGGTCAGGAGTAAGTATGCAAGGAACCCTGCAGCAGGAGGGCTGGGCCAGCATGAGGTACCTTTCACACCGAGTGCTCAGAGGGCTCCTCTGTTTGAACGATAATTAGCCTGCTATAGCCTAAGGTCAGGAGTAAGTATGCAAGGAACCCTAGCAGCAGGAGGGCTGGGCCAGCATGAGGTACCTTTCACATCGAGTGCTCAGAGGGCTCCTCTGTTTGAATAACACTTGAACTGAATGAGACAAGGGAGAAGGCTCTGTGGAGAGCTGGGAGAACAGCAGGTGCAAAGGCCTGGTGGTGGAAGCAGGCTCAGCTTATATGCAAGGTGATCTCCGTGAGATGGACAAGGATGTGAGTGGAGGAAACAAGGCCAGAGAGGCCAGACTTTGAAGGGCCACATTGCCCCTGGGAGGGTGTTCTAATGTACCTTTTGTATTTTCTCATGAAGCAAAACAGCCACACAGGTGGTGTGATGAGCACACAGATTATCCATACTTTCCATATAGTGCCACATCCTGGAGGATATTAGCCCTGTCCCAGGGCTGTGGCTGGAGTCCTGGAATTCCTTGGAGGAATCTGATAGAGGCTACCAATCCCCGACTTTCCCGTAAGACCCACGGATGAGACGTGGTATCCTGTAGACATCTGCCTTGTGACTGAGCAGAGATGGGAGTTTCTTGTGTAGCATTTGTTAAGACTCTGGGGAAGGCAGAGAGAGGAGAGAAGAGGAAGAGAGGGGAGAAGAGAGGGATTTCTTCTTTCTTATATTTCTGATTAATTTTTCATCCCTTGACACCCTATAATAAGCTCATGTAAAGTTGAAATATTAATTCTGGGCTATAGAGCTATCTCTTTTTGATTCCACTCCCCTACCATTGATTAACTTCCCCTTCCAAGCATCTCTGACCTCATCTCAGTGGGGAACAGTCTGTGCACAGTCAACAGAATCCACCACTGTGCTTATTTCACACCTGGCTAGATACTGCTCTTTTGTCTAACAAATTTCTCTCTTTTTCTCAGGAATAACCATGATTATATGTGTACCATGATCTGTTCTGACAGAAGACTAACCTTTTCTTGGTGTTATCTAGAACTAAGGTCGGCCACTAATGTGTAAGGAGAAGCTATCCAATGGCCCTGGTTCAGAGCTTCGGTTCTTCCTTCGTTCTGTTGCCTAGAATGCAGATGTGATGACTGTGCTGCAGCTGCTATATTGTGACACTGAAGTGATTTTGAGAATCGGAGCTAAGGCCTAAGAATGGTGGAAAAGACAAAAGCAGCCTGTGGCTCTGACAATTCAAAACTATTATACAGTCTTGTGAACTCCCTGGCTCCAGATTTCATTTTATGGAGAGAACTGATATTGAGAATTCTGTTATATTTAGTTGAAGATATTAGTAAATAATGTGGACGCTGCAACACGTTTCCAAATCATCCCACTGTAAAATCCCTTTTCAGATTACCAAGCCTCACTCAGCTGGGTAATGTCTGTGTTAGGTTACTAGCTTTGCCTATTTCTGATTCTCCTGATTTCTTTCCTCCATTGGGTACTCCATGATCCTCTGAGCATCCATTCCTCCCCAAGGACTGTGAGAAGATGCAAGGGATCAACCCAGCCAGGATGACTACAAGACACACTTCTCAAACACCAGCACAGTACAATGTATGCAGTAGTTGTTTAATACTTGTTTGCTGACTAAATTGGACTTTTGAGACTATTACTTGCCAAACACTGAAAATGTAAAATTTACCACCCACACATCTTGAATACTTTGTGGTCAAAATTGAATGTGTCATTTTACATATAGGAAGAGCCATGTTTTTCCTGGTTGTCTCTTCAGCTCAGCCACTGAGGAAATGTGACAAGCTGAAAGGGCTGGAAGGGACCCTGGACTGACCAGGGAAAATCAGTGAGCCTAGTCACGACTAGAAGAAAAGAGAATGAAGGAAGGGTGCTGAGGGACCATGCACACCTCTCCAGGGTCACCTAGGAGAAAACAAGGGGCCAGCAATAAAAATAATCTGTGAAAAGTAACTATACATTATCACCAACATCCCGGTCATCTATAAAACAATGGAAAGTAAATTTGTCATTAGATTAAAGAAGAGAAATAAATAGTTTAACAGGCTCCACCGAAAACACTATCTAAAATTAAACAGCAATAACAAAACTTAACACAAGCAAGCACAGCTCCAGATGCTTAAAGTTCTATGTAGGAATTCTTCATAGTCGCTATTGCTCAGTGAGGAAACCTGGTTCAATCTGCCGATTGGCAAGAAAAAAAGTTAATCTTTAGGAGAGACAAGGACGCTTCCATTTCAACACGGCAGACAGAGTTTCACGGGGAGAGAAAGGAACATGTTTCTCCTCCAGGCATCACATATCTGGCTGAAGCGGCGTTCTACCACCCGGAGTTGGCAGAGGGCTTAGGGAGCTCAGGGTGACTTACCCGTGGATGCCTTCACACGAGCTGGCTTGCTCTTGTGCCTGCCCTTCTCAGCGCTGAGGAGTATGGTGTATTCCTGCCCTGGCCCCAGGCCTGTCAGGATGTGGGAGGTAGCGTCCCTTGGTAGTTGCACCTCCACGGAATGACCTGTGGGGAGGCTGTAGTTGAGGCGGTAACGGTCAAACTTGGCCAGTGGTGCCTTCCAGAACAAGGTCAGACTGTCCTGGGTTGTTTCAGACACCTGAAGGTCCTTGGGGGCATCCATTTCTGGGAGGGAAACAGAAGGATGAATCTTTAGGCTGTGATGCACAGGTGCTCCTGGAGTTGAATGTCCCCTACATTACCCTGGGTCTGCCACTGAGGGACCATGTGACTGCAGGGCAATGACCTGAGTCTCGGTCCACATCTTCGTGAGACAAGCCCAGTTTCATGCTATGTTGTTGGATTTGAGGAAGATCAGAAATAATATAGTGATATAGCCAAAGTATGAAATGCTACTCAATAAAAATCCCTTGCAAGAGACAAACAATTGACACAATAAACAGTTGAGATGGGTCTCAGGTTTTATGCTAAAGGACAGAGCCAGTTTCAAAATGTGACTTGTTATTTTGCTAAGGACTGTACATTTGTGCCCCCCTAAAATCAGTGTATTTAAACCTAATCACCAAGGGATGACACTGAACATTTGGATAGGGATCAATGGCAGACTTCATGATTAGGATCAATGGCCTCATAACAGAGACCCCAGAGAGAACCCTGCCCCTATGATACACGAGGACATGACAGAGATTCTTCAATAAGCAGGAAAGAGTGCCTTCCCTAGGCACTGAGTTTTCTGGCATCTTGACCTGTACTTCTTAGTCACAAGGCTGTGAGAAACAGAGTTCTCCTTTGTACAAACCACTGGGTCTAAGGCATATTTATTGTAGTATTCCAAATGGACTGACACATGTCAGATTTATTAAATGGTAAAACTGTAGGGCTGTGCAGAGCAGCAGGAGGTAAGTGGTCATGGTGCGATGGCTCATGGATGGTGGGTCCGTAGGATGGAATTATTTTGTCTCCTTGTAACAGCAACTTCACAAACCTACACATGACAAAATGCGCAGAGCTACACACACACACACACACACACACACACACACAC